CATACAATCGTATGTAGAAGAACTACCCTCCTATTTCTTGGAAAGAATTGTTAAATATGTTACAGTACATTTAAAATCTCTCATCTTACAATAACATTCTTTGAACCCTGATCTCAATTTTTTTAACTTTGACACCTAACTATGACCTTAACCTTTATCATACCACTCTTTTTGCCATGAACTCTTTTCTGTTTGAAATCAAACCTAAATTAGATTTCAAATTTCAAAACACATATATGCAGTATTCCTTTTTCAACAGTACTGTACTATCTATTTCAGACAGATGTAATATTTGAAAAGTATAATGAAATCACTTATGCATCTCAAATCAAAATGAGAATCAAGCAAAAGATGGACAGATGGATGCAATATTCATGTGCCAGTGGTCATTATACAATATGTGAGGGACAGAAGTGGTCATTATGCAATATGTGAGGGACAGAAGTGGTCAGAGTATAATAAGTGAGGGACAGATGTGGTTAGTGTACAATAAGTGAGGGACAGAAGTGGTCAGTGTACAATAAGTGAAGGACAGAAGTGGTCAGTGTACAATAAGTGAGGGACAGAAGTGGTCAGTGTACAATAAGTGAGGGACAGAAGTGGTCAGTGTACAATAAGTGACAATAAGTGAGGGACAGAACTGGTCAGTGTACAATAAGTGAGGGACAGAAGTGTTCAGTGTACAATAAGTGAAGGACAGAAGCGTTCAGTGTACAATAAGTGAGGAACAGAAGTGGTCAGTGTACAATAAGTGAAGGACAGAAGCGTTCAGTGTACAATAAGTGAGGAACAGAAGTGTTCAGTGTACAATAAGTGAAGGACAGAAGTGTTCAGTGTACAATAAGTGAGGAACAGAAGTGGTCAGTGTACAATAAGTGAGGAACAGAAGTGTTCAGTGTACAATAAGTGAAGGACAGAAGCGTTCAGTGTACAATAAGTGAGGAACAGAAGTGTTCAGTGTACAATAAGTGAAGGACAGAAGCGTTCAGTGTACAATAAGTGAGGAACAGAAGTGTTCAGTGTACAATAAGTGAAGGACAGAAGCGTTCAGTGTACAATAAGTGAGGAACAGAAGTGGTCAGTGTACAATTAGTGAGGGACAGAAGTGGTCAGTGTACAATAGGTGAGGGACAGAAGTGGTAAGTGTATAATAAGTGAGGGACAGAAGTGGTAAGTGTATAATAAGTGAGGAACAGAAGTGTTCAGTGTACAATAAGTGAGGAACAGAAGTGTTCAGTGTACAATAAGTGAGGAACAGAAGTGTTCAGTGTACAATAAGTGAAGGACAGAAGTGTTCAGTGTACAATAAGTGAGGAACAGAAGTGTTCAGTGTACAATAAGTGAAGGACAGAAGCGTTCAGTGTACAATAAGTGAGGAACAGAAGTGTTCAGTGTACAATAAGTGAAGGACAGAAGTGTTCAGTGTACAATAAGTGAGGAACAGAAGTGTTCAGTGTACAATAAGTGAAGGACAGAAGCGTTCAGTGTACAATAAGTGAGGAACAGAAGTGTTCAGTGTACAATAAGTGAAGGACAGAAGTGTTCAGTGTACAATAAGTGAGGAACAGAAGTGTTCAGTATACTACAAGTAAGGGACAACAATGGTCAGTGTACAATATAACATTGCAGTATCTTAATTATTTATGAAAATGATTAAATGTTAATAGCGGTACATTACTGGCCAAATGAATATTAACAAGATAACAAGACTAAATTCTAAATAACAGTCAGTGATGCCATTTACTGATAAATAATTAAAGTGTATACCCCAAATGAGTATATATGCTGAAAAGTCATATAAACTTTCTGATCAGAATATTTCATACTTTCACTGAATTTTGAATCTGTTTACTTGCGGTTAAAATGGAATGACAAAAAATTAACTTGAAATTAAGTTTATTAAGATAAGAAGTATTTTTATAAAATGTAAATATTAAGTTATTTTTCTAGTACAAAGTTTTATGTCTACAAAATATAGATGTACTAGTAACAAAAAAGTCATATCAAGTCTGAAGACATTTTCATATAGTAAAATGTTGAATATTTATATTCATTATCTAAATATAAATTATACACAATAAATGTTAATGATTTAAATAAAGCTTACACTCAAGACTAGTACTAAAGCAACTTAAAGCTATTCAAACTATGTTTTAATAACAAGACTATGCCAACAGTATACAACAGAGAAGATTCATACCTACTTCCAAATGTATCTGAAACACTGATATATATACTAACATACACAAAAACTCAGTTTTCCATACAAATGTACAATATCTAATACAACTGTATAAGGAGTAGGTTGGTGTTGCTTGTACATAGTGTTCAATTCTGTCTCTGTCATTCAGCTGACGGAGCATGATTCATGGCTCTTTTGGTAGAGCCAGTCAATAATCACACCAGAGACCTGGGTTTTGATTCCTAGTCTGGGCACTCGACAGGAATAGGTGTTTTCCTTGTTCTTTCACACAAATGTATGACATATCTTGCACAAATGTATGACATATCTTGTGCAAATGGATGACATATCTTGCACAAATGTATGACATATCTTGTACAAATTTATGATACCTCATACAAATGTATGACATACCTTGTACAAATGTATGACACTTCATACAAAGGTATGACATATCTTGTACAAAGTGTGATACCTCATATTAATGTATGACATATCTTGTTGAAATGTACAAAATTCTATATAAATGTATGACATATGCTGTACAATGAAAAATATATAATACAAATGTACAATACCCCATACCACTGTTTGACACATCCTGTGCAATTCATGATATCCCATATAAATGTATGATTTATCATAAACAAATGTACAATACATATGTACCAAAAACTAATGTTCAAAATTCTCATACGTATTTACAAAATTTCAATACTGACATACAAAATCTTTATATCAATGCAAACAAATTGTAACATAATGTAAAATTGGTAGAACAATGAATTTGAACAATGATGGGCTTTATTGTATCCAAATACCAAAGGCATGGCTGTTACAATACACATCAAATAAATATATAATAAAATATAAACATTGTACCAGGATAACAAATATTGTCACATAGTATGCAAGTTATGTTTTTGAAAACATTTAGTGATACCTATCAATAGAAATGGTAGATAATAATTATGGTTTTGTAGGTTAAATATTCAGCAATTTTCGAGGATTGAATAAAAATCAGCAGAATGGATACAATAATATCAATAAAACATAGTCCACTTCATGGCTTTCATTTTATAAAATATTTTTTGCTTCAAGTTCTTGATAACAATTCATTTCTTCTTTTTTTTTAATTTTCAATTTGTGAAAATTTGAACCATAAATGTAACATTTTTTTACATAACTAGCAGGACTTCTTAAACCTACGTTGGTTCATTTGGACTGTTCGTTAGAATGTCTCAAACTTCGATTCTGACATCTCTGCTCAATGGATTCACAACTTATTTGCTTCTGGAGAAAATTTAATCAACAATGCTAAATTTCTGATTCTGTACTTAAGCCAACCATCTACAGGAGTTAATGGTTATAAGAGAGAGCTCTCAGGAAGTTATTCACTTCTTATCCAAGTGAAAAAATACAAGCAAAGGGCAGTAACTCTTGACATAGGTTCAAGTCTCATTTTAGTTTGCAACACACAGCCAATCAGGGATTTAAAACAGAATACTTATCCTGAGTGAAGTCCTGTGTGGTAGCAATGGTGGGAAACTAGTAAATGTACATTTTCATCATCATATTCAACAAGAAGAAATCACAATACATTTTCATCCTGAACAGCCCACTATCAATACAGTGAGAAATACTGCTGATATAAATATATGACATACAAACATATGGATTCCTTAACATTTACAACAAGGTAAATCTAAATAAATCTTTACAAATGGTACAGTCTTCATAATAGAGTCTTCTACCATCAGTACAGCTTTTAGCATGCTCAGTACTTATACAGAATCCACATTAAAAAGATAAATATTTCTTGGCAAAATATTTTAGAAGAATTGATCCCAATAAAGCAACTCCAGATCATGTGCTCATTACATAGGACCAGTTTATTTTCATATGTTTGCCGTGATAGTGATGTTACACTACTGTTGTGTTTTGAACTATAAATAGATAAAGTGATAAAGAATTCCATTTTTTCCCTTTTTTTTTTCTGAAGCAATTACATGACAATTTCACCAAATGATGAAATAGGCAAACATGTACATTCCTAGAGTCTTTACCACAAACCACATGGTCTTACACTGCAACTCACTCAAGACAAACCATCAGTATTACTGAATATTTTGTTTGAATCTATGTTCCCAGAACATACACTCACATATCAAAACATCCACATGTTGACATTTTGTGCTAGTTTACAGCAGCTTTCACAAGGTACATAAAAAATTGCATATGCAATGATCAAATATGGTGACTTACATTCATTCATTTTCCAAAATTTCAGAATGTTTTACAGACTAAATATATCTTCACCATTCATATTAGGTAATTTAGTACACACATATCCATTATTCAATTTCAGACATATTCAGTCTCATTTCCCCAACATTTCTTTACAACTTTACTTGTATCTGTCAATGAGAATGCTTTTAAAAGCCATTGTAACAAACAGATGTACCAAAATTCTTCAAATTTGTCAGCATCCCAAATCAAAGACATAAAAGAAATTATTTCTAATGTAACTTGATTAACAACAGTATAAATGCACTCCAACAGATATATGTATCTGTTACACCTTACTTGTTTTGGTATGTATATATAGCTTCATTTCAAAATTTATTCTATTAAGTTATAAACAGATTGACACTGCTTGAGCATATTTTATACAATCTGACACAAACTTTTCGACTTGCATTATTTTTTCATTAAGCAATAACAATTATTGGCTATACTAACATCATTTATTATTGATGGAAATCAGCAATATTTTAGATATTGATCTTTAATAATTTTTAATGCATTAAATCTTTGATGTACATTTGATCAGTGATAAAACACTGGGCAGGTAGATGTTTAGTGACCAACAATATTCCATATTTATAACATGATCTGCTGACTTGTGAAATACTCCAACATGCTACAGTAACTTATAATCTTACATGAAATATATCAAACAGCAAAATAGATGCAGTATTTGTCATTATACATTCGTATATTTGCTGAAAAATTGTGCGGACTTACAAAATTCCACAAATCTCTAGTAATCCATCTTATTCTAGTGACAAAACTACTCCTTCACTCTTTAGCCTAATATCTGTTGTTCAACATAAGCAAACAACACTGGAGCTAAGCCCGGAGTATCACAGATACTGAACAAAGAATAGGAAACACTTTACTAGTACATACCTTTTCCTGTGATTTTAAATCCTGACACATTCTAGTAATTTTTAAGCCTTAATTCTTACTTGATAAGTGTTGTCTTTTTTATTTTGAACCTCTTATCATTTTCTTTATTATCAAAATCCTTCACATCAATACTTTGCCCTTTAAACAACATGACTTTTTATTAGCTTGTGACTTCAATGCAAAATTCACAGAAATTCTACCAATGTGGGACACTGTAGAATATCCTAAGAATTAGATTCAATCTTTTTCACTGACAAATATCATAACAAAGATACCTCCTGATATTTCAAAATCTATGAAGTTTATTCACTATCACTGTCACTTTCGTCGAATCCTGTCCAGTCAATTTCCTGAAGCTTGCCTTGCCTCATTGCATGCTCTATAAGTCCTAGGTGACAGAACACATACTGGTCCGGCATCTGGATGCTGAAGGCCCTCTGTGACCTGATCCTACGTACAGTTTCCTGGACATCTACGCGTCCTGTGTCCTCTAACTTTCTGAGACAAATATCTATTGTCATGAATGTACCTGTAACACAGATAGAGACAATTCAAAGGAACTGACATCACCAATACATCAATGATTCAAAGATTTACAATTTGTTTGAATCCAGATGTTCTCTTTTTTTACTATTAAATATGGCAATTAATTTCTTAATATGTACAACCATTAAATTTGTACATATATGTCTTGCATGCTCACATCCCACTTCCTTTCTCATGTCTCGATATTTACATATCACCAAGATCAGGGTTAATCCAGTAAAACATGTACTTGACCCCAGGACTCGAAAATAAACCACTTTTATTCATGATCCTGTTTGTTCTTGAAAAGTTTGATCCTTTCCCTTCTTTTCTATTCTCTCCTTTGTTCTTGCTCTTAATAACATGAAATTAAGAAATTCCTCTTTAAGAAATAGTGATAATAATCTTTGTCAAATCCAAGATGGTCACCTGTATTCTGACAAGTCCCAAAATCAATAGGTCACAACTACAGACCAAGAGGAACCTACATATAAGATATGAAAAAAATCCATTCATTGTCAAAATCAAAAGATGGACAATTGTCAGTCATTTTTCATTGACCAGTCCCGAAATCTAAAGGCACAACAAAACACCAAGGGAATTTGAAAATGAAATTTGAGAAAGATTCATCCTGTATTTCCTGATAAATAGCTCATTGTCTAAATCAGTTCCAACTAAAATCGGTGAAAGGACAAAGTATAACCTAAACGTAAATTTTGTAAAAGATCTATCCAACACTTCTCAAGAAAAAGTGACAAGGTTTGTTTACTGACAGAAGGATAGATTGAGGACATAGATGATTTGAATAGCTCCCATCTGATGATGATAATGTTCTGTCAATGATACCTATTCACATTCCATGTGTTTATTTCTGTTTCATGGCTGTAAAGCTTAAGGAATGTCATAGTGAAAGTCGTATGTGCTTTCTGCAAATTATACAGTATTGCAGGTATTATTATTTCAAAATTGTTTCATTTCTCCATCAGATTCCCAAAATGTACAACCCAAAGTTTGTATAGAAACAAAACAGCCACACTGGCATGACATATGGCAAATTGATCACTAACTTTTACTAGGGTGCATGACACATTTTTCTTCCCCTTATTTAACAAAGTCAATGACAACTTGGGAGTTTTTAATTATCATTTGTGTTCAATTATGAGAAAATGAAATTGATTGCTTGATCATTTAGTGAATATGATGCTATGACACACTGAGGTAATTATGAACAAAATCTGTTGAGAGGTTCTTAAGATATGATACTGATTTACAATGGGACGCAATTAAATAGTCAGACCTGGGTAAACCTATTTTGCCCACCCCCCTTCCCTCCCCTTCAAAAAGGTGCTTCACAAGTTGAAAACTAACCTGTACGGCCAATCCCAGCACTACAATGTACGACCATAGGAGGTCCTAGTGGATGACCCTGCCAGGCATTACCAAGGCGAGTTGTGGCATCAGCCTGGCAGGATCGTACACGGTGTAGAAAGTCCAGGAAGGCTGCTGCCGATGATGGGACCCCATAATCTGGCCAACTAGTGAACTGCAAGTGTGTCAGGTGACGCGACTCATCTGTCTACAAACACATAATTATAATATCTTTCGGTTATCGATATCCAAACAGGAAACAGCATACATCACTAATGAGATACCTGTATTAACTATGAAGTTAACACACCTTAAATTTTCCATTTTTTATATCAGTACAAAAAAATTACCCTTACTTGGGGAAATGAGATCATGTTAAACATTCTAAATGACAGTATCCTACCTCATCACACACCAATCAGAAATTATTTATCTGCTTAAGCCTTCCACATCAATATCAGGTCATTTCAATACACATAGAATATATAAATACACTGAAGTGCACAAATGTAGAAAATAGAATCCATGTGTAGATACTTTTGTGTTGTGCAGGAAGAGTCCTGTTACTGTGTAGTCCTGGTGTTGTTCGGTTCCAGTGTTGATGATGAGGAACTCGTCACAGGTATCCTCAGCATCTTCCTCCACTGGCCAATACTGACCACACTTTAACCTACCACGCTCTATTGCCCTGAAAATCATGCATAGATGGGATAAAGTTCCATGGATCAAATAAATTGGTGTGAATAAAACAATGACAAAGAGTCCATTTCTTTTATTTTGCTTTTAATTCCATCAACTTCTGTATTAATTTACATCTCTAGATGCAAAGTATAATTTCCTTATTAATCAACTGTAGAGCTAATATTTCATGGTTATACACAGCTTTGGTCTAGTATATGTTTTATAAATTTTATGCATGTTTCTGAATGTTCATGTATACAGGCATAATTGTTATTTCTGGCTATTTGATGGGCTTTTAATTTTCACTATCTTCATTGACTGTAATTATAGCAACAATAAATTCCAATAAATACTATACAGTAAATAGATTACCATTATAAACATGCTGAGGAACATTCTGTAACCCAGTAACAATTATTTAAAAGAATTATATGCAGAAAAAGTTTCTAACTCACTTCGTTGTCATGACAATGACCATCACTTGGCAGTGCCAAACCATTCTCCAGAAGTCACCAAATGTCTTTGGAAGTGGTCCTTAAATGGAAACAATATTTAGGATTTAGATTGATAAATATGTATTTATATACAAAATGTATTAAAACTTCATGGAGTTTTGATCAAAAGACCCAAAATATCTTTATCACCATAGTTTTCAATGTAAAAATAATTTTTCTACATTCCGACAAGAAAAATAGAAATGTATTACTTAAATATAAACTTTAATCTTCACAGCTACAGCATTATCCCTGTAAACCAAGAGGTGCCCTTAATCTCTGATTCAAAGTAGCACCTTCAGGAAGTAATCAAATATAAAACTCTTCTTAATGTTTGTCAAAGGGACATGGAGAATAGCACTGTAGAATTTTGACAATTTTTAAGACTTCATAAACTTACAACACATTCTTTATTTTCTTAATCTTCTATAAAGTAATTGTATTGTCCATAGTTTCCGTGTACATAGATATTTATCAATCTATATGTTGTTATCATAACCCCTGCTTTGAATCAGTGTATATCATAACATAAGAGTTAATATCCAAATTCATGGAAATGTAAAATACAATGATAAGAAAATGTTGAACCATCGCAACCAAAATCCTTATTGGACTGATCAATATGCTGGATTTCTATATCATAAAGATATAGAAGACTTTTTATACCCTAAAATTCATAAACATAAATCTTACCCTGTGTAGATATGTAGGCTTGTTTCTGCAGATAGCCATCCATGTAGTTGGCATTGATGTAGTCAGAGGACAGATCCCCCTCCTTTATGGGTAGGCAAACACGTGAATGGTCAAAGCACAGCACATCAGAGTATCGGTTCTTCGGCAAGTTGTATTTGGCTCTACCAATGAAAAGTTTTAATTGTATGGGCTTTCTATACAGTACATGAACAGTGTTTTGTGTCAAAGTTTAAGACTTCATTATCTATAATAAATCATACTCAAGCATGAGTCATATCTAGACAACTTCTAAAGAAGAAAACATAACTAGGTTTTCCTTTCCTTCATCTTTCCTTCCTTTTTCAAATAGTTCCCTTCATTTCATACATTAAGAGATTAGAAATAAAGATTTGAAAATTAACGATAACATAGTTGGCATTATGAGCAGATTTCAAACAAAAGTCAGACTTTACACTTCAGAGGATTGACCCCTTTCAGTGCGAGAGGCGACATATTGTATCAGGAATCATGCTTCCTGTGGTAGAAGTACCGGTAGTATCACTCTGTTTCAGAGGTCATGTCATCTTGTGTCGGGGTAGCATTACCCTTTATCAGAGGTCATATCATTTTGTGTCAGAGGTAGCAACACTCTGTATCAGAGGTCATGTCATCAAGAATACGAAGTAGTATTATCTTGTATCGGAGGTCATGCCATCCTGTATACAAGGTAGCATCACTCTGTATTAGAGGTCTATGCCATCCCCAGTCAGAGGTAGCATCACCCTGTATCAGAGGTCATGTCATCTTGTGTCAGAGGTAGCATTACCCTGTTTCAGAGGCCATGCCATCCTGTATATGCGATATGAGACAATACTCTGGGTAAGAGGTCACATCATCCTGTGTCAGAGATCACTCCTTATTGCGCTAAAGGTCACATCTCAAAGTCCAGATACCAGCATTAGGTACTTTATTCACTATATCATGTATATTAGAGATGGGTTTATATAATAGGAAGAAGACATTGGGTAGCATGTACTTCAGGCCTGTCATAGTAATGCTTACTTTGATACATTGAATGTGCCCATAGGTGGTTCTAACTTGATTAAAGCATATTCTTGGTACATTCCTTTTCGTTTGAGATTCCGACAATGTTCTGCAAGTTCATCTAAAGTTAGCCCTCCTGTTTCAGGTCGATGTACAGAGTCCTCAAACATGTTGTTTGAACTTCCTGACAAAGGGCGTTTCTTTTTGGGAATCTCTAAATTTTGGTCAATGGCTTCAGAATTAATGCAGTCCATGGCTGAATCAACTGTCTTTTTCACACTTCCTGATTCCATTATAGGATCTGATTCTCGACGTCGTTTGCCCGAGTTATTCACACAGGAATCCTCTTTTTCCACTGTCACTTCTTTTTCTGCTTTCTCATCCCCATTCATTTGTATCTCTTTTTCTTTGTCCTCACAGTTGTGTTTTTCATTTATTGTTTCTTTTGATTCCTCTGAATCAATGTCACTTATCAACAAATTATCAGACATATCACTCGACAAGCTCCTCCGAGACACGGATTCACGTGAATTTTGTTCGACAGTTTTCTTAGATGTCATAAAGTAAGAATCAATGTCTGCAGTTTGATTGGCGCAAACTTTGGCACACACTTGTAGCCATGACCCATGCGTGTCTGGGGCACTGCCTCCTAACTGCTGAGGCAGTGAATCCTTGGGTATATGTTGTGTTAACTGCCCTAAACTTACAGTGTACACCTGCAACAAACAAAATGAAAATCTTTCACATCATGAATCTTGCAATGCAAGGTAATACAATTTCACTTTATAAAATCATTTTCAACATTTCTGTAGCTACACTTCACCTATGTTTCATTTTTTTCATTTACCTTTTAATTTTCAAGATTTCTTTATAGGGCTTCAGATGTTTTGTACAAATAAATGCCAACATTTGAACAACATAAAATGTATTAAAGTATGTGTAAGACAGGGTATAAATCTGCCTTAACTTGGAGGAGAGATGACTTACACGGTCTCGTAGTTTCTCCCTCACAAAAAGTCGAAGTATCTTGAATGGAGCCTTGAACCACAGTGGTGCAGTAACAATAAGAACCTTCTTCAGTCTGGCAGGGTACCCTCCCTACAATCAAAACAACCAACATCTGATGTGTATCTAAAAACATTTCCAGCAATAATATTTTACATCTATATTAATTTGATGACACTTTGCATAATATATAGCTGCTGGTTACTGACCTGGCTACTACGTATACTCCTTCAGAACTAACAGAGGAAGGCCGGACATGGCTTTAGACCCCTTCAGAAAAGTGACCCCAGTTAAATACAAACACATATTTACTTTAAATAGTCATTTTTACCTTTAACATATTGAGGATCTTCTTACTCAGCTCATAGTCAAAATTGTTGTATTTTGATTCTGTCATGTCATAGATAAACACCAGGCCATGTCTCTGAGTTTCCAGACTGAAAATATTTTCAAGATTATAAATTCATTTTGAATACTCCTAGTTTCAAAATTTAAAGTACTAAAACAAACAAAAGTAAGCATGCAACTATTCAAATGCATAAATTCTTTAAATTTACTTTCACTAAAGGTGAAAAGTTTCTTCATAAGTCATCCCAGTTATTTTCAACTGGTATTTCCAAACGTGCTTTAGGATTTCTGTGAAAATGCCTCGTTTTCACTACAAAAATATAACTCTAGTCCTTTCTCACCAAATAATAGCAACTTTACATTACACTATTACGCTGTTTACCAATTGATACATCAAAGTCTTTACTGGAACCTAGTAACAAAGAGTTTACCTTTCGAGTGCAGCATCCAGTTGATAGATGAGTCCCTTGAGAACTAGCTGTTGTGATGTACAAGCAGGTGTATGAAGTCTGGCTGTAAACAAGGCAATGGCTGCACCATGTCTATCTCTACCCGGCTGTAATATCAACTCAAAATGTTTCATATCCAGGACATGTATAGCTCAACAGGCATAGAGTAACATAGTTGTATATAATGTAGACTTTATTAAAGGTAAAGAAGGATACACTTCTATGTATATGAAATGCCTATAATATAGTTGGTCTAATAAGTTGAATTTCTTCTGTAAAGTGTATTTGATTATCTAAACTAGAATTTTTTCATATGACCTGAATGCCCCAATTCTATGCACATCAGAATCTGATCAGGTGTAGAACTTGATGATATGATACTATGGGTAAATATGAACCATATCCATTCAAAAAGCCCCTTCCATCCCAAGGAGTCTAGATCTAGACCCATCAGTCCATTTATACAAAATTGATTTCAATTTACTCAAGTATGCTTCAGACAAAACTTTGGCAAAATCCAACCATTCCAATAAGAGCTGAATTTGCTCCATTTCCCTTACTGGGCCCAGCCCTTTGGCCCCAGGGGGCTGGGAGACCCATTGTTTACACAAAACTCATTCCTCTTCACCTAAGAATGCTTAACACTTAATTTAGGCAAAATCCAATCATTCCTTCAGGAGACGTAGGATTTTAAAGAATTTGCTCTATTTACCCTTTTGGTCCCCATCCATCCAGAGAGCCAACATCCAACATTTATACAATACTTGCTCTGCTACCCTAAGGATTCTTTTGACCATATTTGATCAAAATCCACTTTTTTTTTTTTTTACAGAAACATCAATTTTCAAATTTTATTATAACATTTTAATCAGCAGTTTTTTTTTTGTATTTTGTCAACTGTTTCATGTAGTTCAGTACTTGCTACCTATAGCAAAAAATGACTATAAATCTCATTTACATCTTTATTCATCAAACAGCAACAATATGGTTAAGATGAACACACATACCAGAATAGTGAGTTTCTCTGTGTTCAATTCTTGTTTCAGGCAATCATCCAATGGATAAATGTTGACCAAACTTTCTCGACGCCTGGTACTCTGAAATAGATAATTCACCATCAGCTACAGGAACAATCACCAAAATCCCTATCAATTCACACAAAATGTTCACTGCAGGGTAAGTTAGCATTCTTTAAGCCAGTATGTCCAGGGGATACCAATCCCTCGCAACCCAGCAATAAAAAACAAACTTTAGAAGTACTGTTTTTACTTGTCAAATAAACACTTAATACCTACATAAATAAGTGTTGATGTCAATATGGTATAATAATTAAAAGCTGAAATATATTAACCTTGCATTTGTATTTGAAATCTTATTTTATTTTGCTTTAATTATTTTCCTAAGGAAGAACCCTTACATGACATGAATGCCGACCCAATCCAACATGCACAGTGCATAAATAATATAAACATGCATGCAACAATTTACATTGCATTAAGTACAATCCAAGCTTGACCTGAATGAACCACAAAAACTGAGGAGTGATACATATTTTGGGTGTAATATGTGTCGCTACTGTGAGAGTATTGTCTATGCCTGTATATATACTCACCTCGTGATTAAGATACAGCTCCAGTGCTCTCTGTCTATCAAACTTCCTGGCCATCAGAAACTTGACTGCTGTATTTTTAGAGATGACATCCTTGTTCTCATCCTCTCTAAGCTTATTCACCCTCTCAAGGAAACCGTTAACTTCCTGTAACCAAAGCGTTTCATACTTTAACAGCACACCCAAAGACAAATGTTAGTAAGAAACAATATTTGTAGATTGAGTGACCTACTATAAAGGTCAATACATATTTTTGTTATAGGATATTTGTAGAAAATACCATATATCTAACAAAAATGAATTTCAAAGGGAAACATCTATCAGTATATATAACGATTTAATTTTGCTTTTTTTTAAACAGTGGTATAGTTTGCACTATCTATTAAACAAGAATTCACTTGTATATATAGCACTAATTATAAGGGAAATTTATAGGTCTGATGATCCTGTAAATTCTGAAAATATGTTTTTCACTGGTATGATCCAAACACATTTAGTTGGGATGAATTGCTTACATAATACAGCCTATGTATAACTAATGTTTATTGATGACCAAAATTTTAATTGATTCTGCAGTACTTAACTCTACCAAATTATTCTAAAGTGCCACTTCAATCTGCAGATGAACTATAATTTTCTAAGGTCAATTTTCATTTATGTCAATATCTGTAACAATTATGTAATATTTTCTTTTTTTTTACATAATGAGCTGTTTTTGCTGCAGGATACTAAAATCAATTATTTTCAGACCTTTCCCATCCATTACAAAACATATTGCACAATACACTGTTATGCGAAATTGCAAATGCACAGCAATTTTAGGGATTCAAATATTTGCGTCCTGGACTCCTGCCTTTTCTGTTGAACCACTCAAATTTAGAGAACCTACTGTATCTCTTTGTAACTGTACTTTTTTTTGTTAATGGCGCTCTGGACTCACCAGAGAAAATCTTACAAAACTACTGCTAATATAATTTTTTGATCACATGGCTATGTGTCGGTTATAGTGATTTCTTTAATAGTTTTTATCTAAAGAGGAATATGCTGGTTTGTGATCAATGAGGATGTAGAAAACTATTCTTGAAGTTGGAAAACACCTGTTATGACAAGTTAGTATGAAATTGCTCCTAATCACATGCATTTGTAAAAATTACTTACTCGTAAAATTATTAAATTGTTTCATATATACATGTAAAGGGACACACTTTAAAGTTCAGCTTCTATTTAGTACCTGGATAAGCAAACGATTCTCCTAATTACCTATGATTGTTTTGACTTGGCTGAGATATGCATATCACTATTGGTTTATACTACATGACATGACACGTGCTGTATATTTGCAACATGAATTATTACGATACTGAACAGGCTATTATAGGATAAGAGGCATTTACAGATTTTCGAATGCATTTAATTCTACAGCCAGTATTAAGCATTCCCCTTCAAAGTTTAAATGTTTTTATCAAATTTCAACAATGGCCCTAGCTTCCACTTTCAGATTTGAAAGGACTTATACATCTATTATCAAAAATATGATAATGACACTGAATTCTGGGAAAACTGTTATCTGACTTCAGAAATCACTACTAGACAAAGCTCAATTGTAAGCCCTGATATACATGTAACATAAGCACAGAGATCTGTATCTGTAGTACACCGGAAACTTCAATCTCGAGTACAAGTTTTTGGGTCAAGGAAAACAACAGTGACAGGGACAATAAAAGAGAGTGCACTGAAGGGCCTGCACTGCCTATATATATACACACTGTAGCTACAACGTAATGACCACTAGTATGTATCATTATATGAAGAATATATTCCAAGTTACACAATGTCAACCAACTCATAACATCGGCCATATTTACTTTATCCAACAATAAGCTCATTCATTGTAATATTTCACTTCCCTGTAATAACCCCACATCCTGATTCTGAGTAATAAATAACATAACTGGCTCTGATGGCTTACAATGAAACAATAACAATAAGATATGTATTTCTCACTGCTAAATATGAGTGTTCATGACAGGTGAACAAAAAATAAACCTTATGAAGACACAGGGATGCTTCTACATAAAATTTGCCAGACCTTAATGCTATCAATTTTGCATGAGTTGACATGAGACTAGTGCCATGACATGGGACTAGTATCATCCAACTGTTTGTTTATGGCAACTACTACCCCTTACAATTAATATTCACAACATTCCGACCAAAGTAAAATAAGTGGGGATGATTTGTTGTTAACATTTTACAAATCAAGTCTGAATTTTACAACTTGTACTAGATCTACAGAATAGTTCTTATAACACAACCAGTAGAAGATTTGAGTGTGATGTTTTGATGACAACATGGTCACCTTCATCAGATAAATGACCATTGTGAAGGGTATTAGCACTGATGTAATGTAGATTACAAGATGGTAAGGAATCAATAGACTTTTCCTGAAATGTACTAGATCTCTAAAATGTTCTATGAAATAAATCAGAAGGGCTGCAATACTACATACCAATATATTTCAGTCCACCATATTAACAGGTACTATTTTGAACAATTTAAATTTCAAATTGAGATTCAGAGGCTCTTTTATAAGAATAATCATAAAATATGTGTTTGACTAAACCAAATCCAGGAAAGTTTGGATTGGCTGTAACTTATAAAAGAATCTATTATACAGATATCAAACAATAATTGATTTCAAGCAATACTGAAATAGTAGTAAAACTATGCTACTTTGCAATTTGTAAGTAATTGTAGTCATTCAAAAATATTCTGCACACAAAATTACGACAATTCAAGTATTCTACATAACTGATACATTAACAACAATTTTTGCAGGATTTTGTCATGCAAGCCCACAACACCAATTCCAAAACTTTTATGAGTCCCAATAACATGAGATATAGTAAACTCTCAAAACCTGAGTGAAAAGCAAGCAAGAAAAGCTTGAGTCCAGAACTCAAATATATGATTCCCAAAAGTTACTAAATTAAATCTGAGTTTTTCATTCAAGAGTAAATCAAAATTAAAGTCTTTACAGCTACAAGACTGCTAAATTGATAATTACCTCTCTGTTTTCATACTAAAGCAGATATCAATGAATAAGCATGGTAAGTAGCATGTTTTGTAAATATATTTCTAAATTATGTCAATAAGATAACCATATTAGGCTTGACAACAACATGTTAAAGGACAGGTGTTTGGCCATCTGTTAGTTATTCATCATCTAAGTCAAAGCATGCAGAAAATGTCCACAAATAATTTATTATACATAAAGTAACATCTGAAGAGATTTTGAGACTGCCATGCTGCATTGGATAACCTACAATTGTTTATTGTTAAGAGCTTACATAACATATGCTAATCCAGCATATACCCATGTTAATAACACAGCTGACACCAAAGTCAGGATTTGTATGTTGTGTTGGAAAAGGGTATGTTAGATAACATGCATTAATCGTTTTCCTGCATCGCTGAATTGCAAAAGAATATACAGGACTGGCTTTTACACCAGTTGACTCTGACTTTGTGTTAAAAAATATTGTTTAAAAAAATCTGAAATGTCTGTTAACACTACTACATATAGAAGTTCTGTAAAATCAAGTACATCAAAATCTAGTTCTCAACCATAGCTATTAGTTATAGCGGCAGCTTAATTTTGCAAGTTGATGCAAAGAAAATGGGATGGTTATGATCGCTATCTGGTCTCTAATGGATATAATTGATAAATTTATTGATGACGAAAACGTAAATTACAAGGGCATGGCCAGCAATTACAAAACACTGAATATGGATAAAATCTCAACCCATTATTCAGGTAGTAATGACGTTTTTTCTCAAGCAAATGAGTTTGTGCACATCTATGTCAATAGCATCTCCATGTGCACTTCTTTGTCAATAGTATCTCCAAACATTTTCTACAGGTTGGGTAATTCTAATATGGAAATATTTTGATAGAAGTTTGTATACATGTATCACAACAAGTTACAATAGATCAGTGACAGTATAGTCAACAATACATCACACATAATCATTTAACTGGTTGTGATATAAGCTTTATTCATTTATGGGGACAATATCATTATGAAGCTGCTTGTAGTACATTGTCCTTTTGTCTGGTGAGTACAAATGTATTACACATGTGTATTCTTACTAGATTGATGAAAAATCTTCACAATATATATATACGTTTTGAATTTACACTTCCTAGTTCATAGATATTCAAATCATAAAACATTCATATTTTTGAGAACAAAAGGTTGAATGTTCTTTTGAAGAGGACATAACACTATTTCTGTATATATCGATTTTATGTAAGTGGAACTTCAACCATAGTTATAGTCATACAACTCTACTGTTATATTTATAACATATTTCAAGAAAATAAAGGATTGGTCTATCAGCTATGTACACATGCGTTTTGGAACACTCCCGGATACAATTTACTGTTAATCGATTCATGTTCTGATATTTCTTAGAGGACAACTAAGTGGATAGTGGAATAATTTTAACACATCTCTAATTAGATTATTGCTTTGCGATCAAAGAAAATATTCTTGAGAGAGGTGTCAAGGATGTTATGAAGGAGAATTTAGTCTTCGTTTAATTACAAAAGTGTCAGTTTTACGATCCAGAGAAAACAAAATTACAATGAAACATAAACAAAATTAATATAAACAATGAAAATAAAAAGGAAATAATTTTGTTTAATGCTTTTCTTACCCTTTCTTCTTCAGCTGACAATCCCCCGCAGCCAGCCATCCTCATCAATAAACTGCGGAAGTGAGTTTGCGCAGCGGATTCATTAACAGGGTGTCGTAAACAAATATTTCTTTAAATACTACAACAATATCTTTAAGATTCAAAATATTTAAAAATCACCACATATAAGCTATGCTTTGTTATACAAGTTAATAAAGTTTTTAAATAATAAATGAACTTTACGACAACCAACCTCCTTCCCACCCTAAAAACCTCGTTTCCATACCTGGCAAAATCGTGACGTCATTTACCCTGATCGCCATATTGCAGTTCAGTGAAACAAAAACAAAGAGCGAACACCACGGAAACCACCCTTCTTTTGTCGTATTTGATAAAAATTGTACTCTGCTGGAAGAAATTTGAAGAAAAGGAATGGCTCAGAGTCCCTTAGGTGGGGCAGTGAAAGCCTTACAGCTGGAACTAAAGAAAATTAAAGAAGAACCAGTGGAAGGATTTCGTGTGAATTTGATAGAAGATGAGAATTTGTTCGAGTGGGAAGTGGCTATCTTTGGACCTCCAGGAACCTTGTATGAAGGAGGTTATTTTAAGGTGTGAAAACAGAATTATTGCTAGGATCAATCCCTGAACCGAGGAAGAAATTTTCCAAAATGAAATGTTTCAAGTGGTTTTAGTATTGCGTCACGAAACCTGTTCGGTCAAGTTCCCGTTCAATGATTTGACTTCCTGAAGCAAACAAAGAATTCTAGTTGTCTATTTGGATAGGTATTTCATTAATTTTAGTGGATGAAACCGTCTGCATTATAAAATTACTCTACAGTTTAACTAAAAATCAATAATTTTGGCAAAGGACCAAGTCTGCTAAGAGAAATCATTTTTGATCAATAACTGTGAAAAAAATGGGGACTCCTCTATGACGTCATTATGGAAAATGAAAGCAGGCGACTTAAGTTTATTTATGATTAGATATAATTTAGGTTTCATTACTGTTGAACATTTGCTAATAGATCAATAATTCAAATTAAGCTCAGGAATGATGTATTATTGTATTTCAGAAGAAGTGCTGTTAACAAATAAGCATTCTAAAGATTTATGTGATTATCAAGGGCATGAAGACAATCCTCACCTCCAGTTCATTTTATATTACATGATGATATGATTTTTTCATTTTCTCTCAATATAATAAACCCTCGTCTGCTATCTAAGCAGAAGCTGGCAGGATTACTGAGCTACAGTCTAAATACAAGGCAATTTCATTGGATACAACACGGAGAGGAAGTTTTTATGTTAAACAATGCAATCATTAGCAATTAGATGAATATTGAAATGTTTACCAAAAAAAATGTCTGAAGTACTGGGTAAAAATTATTATCTGTATTGTTGAATTGATGTAAATACTGGATGTTGCTTTGTACATTTCGTATATGAAATGATGTAATAATAGCAGGGAAAAAATAATTTTGATCAAGGTATGCAAACAATTGTGTTGATAAAATGCCAGTTGCATTTATATATTAAAATTTAACATCTGTATCAATTGATCAAATGTCAATATCTTTTGTATGAAATTGTCATTCCTGCAAGTTTAGAATAAAGGACATTCTATCATTCAACCATATATATAGGTTAAAATTAAACCCATGGTCACTAGAGGTTTAAGAAAATACAACTCAAGATTTTCCCATGAAAATGGCTGACAATGGTACTGAGTGTTGTGAGCAAAACTAAAGAAGGAAATGTAAAAAATGTTTATAATTATCACTTATGATTGTAAGTTTACTTTTTTATCACCATTTCTAAATTATATTAATTAAAAAGCACAAGGAAACAATAATGATCACTCGTTTTAACTGGTAATGAATGCTGAAATTTTGTATCATGACTGGCTCAGTTTTAATATGAATGTACCAAACATTTACCTTTCAGGCCCACATGAAGTTCCCAGCAGATTATCCATACAATCCTCCAAGTGTTAAGTTTATGTCAAAGATGTGGCATCCAAACGTATACGAGGTAATAACTGTCTCATAAATCTTAATGAAGAACTTAAGTTATTAAAGATATGCAAGTACCAGATACTACTACATATTAGGTGTTTATATACTATTAAAAGAATCATTGTATAAAATTAACAGATTAGACCAGAATACTTTTCAAACAAAATGTTATTTCACTCTTTATATGCTTATTTTAAATTGTAAATGTTATCTTTGTCAAGGACCTGTATAAGTAACAACACACATTCATGAGAAGTAAAATTTCATATCTGTTTTATCGTAAAATCATTTGGATATGCTTTATTGTAGAATGGAGATGTTTGCATATCAATATTACATCCCCCAGTAGACGACCCGCAGAGTGGAGAACTTCCTTCAGAACGATGGAATCCCACGCAGAATGTCAGGTACAAAACCACATTGGATGTCTATATAAAAACTTGCTGGGACAAGCACAATAGTAACATCAACCAAAGGACTTGGTTGAGCTTGTCAATAAGTTTGTAAAAAACCAGCAATACAATTTATCTCATTTTATGTGCTCTCAAAAATGCATCCCAAAGGTAAGTTGAAATGACTTCATCATTTCAGAAAAGTCTTGTCAGCTTCTGCCACCTTCAAATTGTCTCTAGCCATGATCACTAATACAGTATGACTGTAGAGATGACTTCCTTCAAGTGTGAACGTCAGACCAGCATCCCCTGGAACATGGTCTGAGATGCACTTCAGAAGGGAGATGATGTCTGCTACATTAGTGACAAAAGTTTCCCCTCAGTGTTTGTTCCCTAAACAGCTTTTTCTACAATGCTTATGTTACTGGTTGAACATAATTGTAAATAAAAATAGTTTTGTTTTCCTTTTTAATAGACACCATGTATTTCATCACATTGGTTGAAACAAATTGAAAATTTAAGCGAAGTTATTTCAGTTAGATAATACTTCAGTTATGACAGATCTAAAACCATGACAATTACCAGGTCCTCATCAAAATTTGCTGCATTAGACATGAAACTATGTAAAGAGATAGAGAATGTACAAGAGATACACAAATGAACACCTTTCAAATCAATTATAGAATGAGAAACAGTAGAACAAAATATTAATGAGCTCACATGGCCATTAAAACCTGAGAAGAAAATTCTTGAAATCCTCTTAATCTTGCTACTTGTTTTACATGTGTCATATCATGAGTCTTGTACCAAGATACATATGGTATTATAAAAAAATTGTTATTAAGCCCCACTCATCAACTCCTCCATAAAAGAATTGCTACATATTTAACAGCAGGGAGTATAATTTGTAATGAATTAAGTGTTCATTTTCAGGGGGGCTTTAAGTCTGTTTCAAGTTTACAATCTTGGCTTTGAACTTGGAAGTGTTAATTGTCTTATAGAATATATTTGCTAAAAGAAAATTATATACATTTTGTCTTGATGACTTTTTAATCGAAAAGAGGAGAAATCATGATACTGACCAATACATGTTGGGATTAAGAGCTATCAAGTTTGTTTAGGTTAAACACTTTGACTTACTTTCAGGGTCACAGGGATCAGAGGTCTAAAATATTCATGATATTATGCCAGGCTGTAAATGTGGTATTTGAATGAAGGACATGGGAAATTACTGAAATAATAAATGTCCACCACATGTCTCAAATCAATGTCAACAGTCTGTTGACTTCAAAACGTGATACCAAAATCAATTACAGCAATATCTCAAATGTATTCATGTTATAGTGTTCCAAGGACAAAGTTATAGTCATCATTGCTATTTACAGAAATTATGTATATATCAACCAATTCAGTAACATTTTATCTTAAAGGATTGTATTTTATCAAAATTTGTGTAATTTAGATGACATCTAGGTAAAGATATATTTGAACAGTTTTGAAGTTCTAACAAAAAGACACTACATGCAACCTTCAATGCAAACTTGGTGAGTTTTTCTTGACAGTAATAGCGCTAAGTTTCATGTTCTTCAATGCAATTCATCAGCAGGAATGATCCACATGAACAGTTGTCCAAATATTTTCGATTGGAGAAAATTGTTTTCATTCAGTCAGTTCATGACATATTAACAGATAATCTTCGTAATTATGATATACCATATTATGTTTGCACTGATTTATTAATTATTCAGAACTAGTCTTTTAATGAAATGTTCTTTGTATTTCAGAACGGTCTTGCTTAGTATAATTTCATTGTTAAATGAGCCCAACACATTTTCTCCAGCCAATGTTGATGCATCTGTAATGTACAGGAAATGGAAGGATTCTAAAGGCAAGGACAAAGAGTACGAAAATATAATCAGGTAAAGAACTCATTCCTCGATGACGTCAAAGTGAACCTAATGCTTGCATTCAGTCAATTTAGGTGTTGCATGACATTGTGGTGTGATTGTGAGATATCTCAAAAACCAAGTAACCAGTCTCAAAGAAAGTTCACAGAACATAATCCAAAATTGAAAATTGTTTGATCCTCTCTCCACAGACTGCAATGGTCATTCTGTTTTAACTTCTTCATATTCAGATATGCTAGAATAAAAATGCTGGAGTGGAAAGACTTCAGATACTTTCAGATTTTTTAATTATATTATCCACAAATCTCTCAATGTCCTTTTGATTATTAGCATGAATTGGTTGTAAGAATTCCCACCACCATAGCTCTGAAAGGACTTAAAGTGTTTATAAACAAATGATAAGACCCATACATTGATGCTTAACTGAATTTTACTAGCAATATGTCATGTATACATACACCAACTGAAATTATCATGTCTACACTTCTGACCTGAAGGTTATTTTGTAACTTGGAGTTAATGAAATTGCTTGATTTTTTTTCCCCTAAGAATCAAAGTGAAATTCTAAGTAAAGTGTCATTAATTTACTAGATTTTATGTGAAACTGGTGCACTGACAGTCACAAAGACTTGTGAGTTTTGTAAGAATGATAAATTTTACAGTTCCTTTCACCAATCTGACAAAGCTTCACTTTCTGCTTATGTAATTGTTGTTTATTTATCAATAGGGTCACAAGCATATTGCTTTTGAAAATCATTTTGCCATATGCAGAAACAAGATCTGAGGTAACGTCACAGAAGACCTATAGTTTAATCTGAAAATTTGTGTTGAGTGCCACAAGGGAAGTATGACTCCAGGACTCAAAAATCCGAGTCCCAAAAATCACTGATAATATTGAGGAGCTATTTGCTGATAGAAAATGATGTTATAATTTTGCAGGAAACAAGTGGAAGGGACAAAGGATGAGGCGAACAAAGATGGAGTAAAGGTACCTACAACCTTACAGGAGTACTGTGTAACATTTAAACCCAAACCTCCTGATACTGGAATGGATTGTGTTGACTTCTATGACGACGATGACTATGCTGATGATATGGACGATGAGGAGGAGGAGGACGAGGATAACTGTTATGCAGAAGATCAATATGATTCTGGAAATGGTTGAATGTTATGGTCTTAGTATTTGTTTCAAAGAAAAAGAGAGAAAAAAAGAAACATTGTATAAATGTGAGGGAAAAACGAAGAGAGCAGGGAATGTTCAACTTGGTCACTGCCTATATGTTTACATCATGATACCATAACTGGAGAATTAATACACTCCCAAGTGTATATTTCCCTTTAACAACGACAAACTTAGATTTTGTTTCTTTGCTTTACATGAAGTTGGATTAAGCCCTTTGGTGTTACTTTCGGATTTATAATAAATGAATTACTGCTATTAAGTAGAGAATTGTAGGTACATTATACCTCTAACAAGACTGGTTATCAGGAATGTTATAAAAGATTTACATTAGATATTTAAAAAAATATAAAATGAGATGTTTTGGCCTATGCTTTCTTTCCCTCAAAAGCAAATGAATAATTTTATTCTCTTTTTTTTCATATTAATTTATTATTTCAGAAATTTGCTTTGTTATTGGTACACAGACAGGGCTGGTGTGCTAATAAACATATCTCTCAAACCATAGAATTCTGATCTTACAAGTGTTTTAATGGATACTGATCATGATTATGCACTATTGGTACCTTGTAATACAGGTCACAATTGTGTGTTTTCAAATTTAATATTTCTCATTACTGTTGTTAAGTTAGTAAATTGGATATTAGCAAATACTTCCCTTCATTATTTCTAGACTATTTGACTCTAAAACAATTTAAGTACTTGTGGATTGAATATAATGAAGCCAAGATAGCTGTAGGAAATTAAGAATAGATATTTGTAGTCTCTTAGTAGCATGGAAAAGCATGATTTTCAATACAAGTTTTTTATCAACTTACAAATCACGAATCATTCACTTTTTCTGCAATTGAAGAAACTAGTGTCCAAACTTTAAAATTTCATTTCAAATCATTCGATTTAAGCAAAATTCCTTAACTTCATTTCTGCTTTCTGAATAACAAAAATGAAACTCACATTTTTTATTAAAGTAATTGTGAAATGAAAACATTTACTTTTAAAAAATAATGAAAAAAAATTTCTTGGTACAAACAGTTGGTGTTGGATAGAATGTAGATATCCAAAAATATTAAGTTTCTTTAAAAACCGATACTTGTATTGTAGTAACAAGTGATAACAGTTTTCGGTATTGAAACAGTTTGGTAATGTATAAATGGACCTGTATGTCTTGCTGTATTTAATTATTCATTGTCCAATTATTGTATTCCCGGTTATTTGTAAATGAAGATCTTGCTCTTCGATTTTGTTTGTATGTTGACATATTTTCATTGATCAAGTGTAAACAAATTCCCAGGTGCTGTAGAGCATTTTATGTGATACATGCAGTTTGCTTAAACATTCAAAACATTATGATGTTACAAAACATGCTAGAGGTTTGTTGAATATCTGAAAAGTTTGGGGTAAATTTGTGGTTTTTCCATCTTTTATGTATGTTAGAATGATATGATCTGAAATGTGTGTGTTTCATAGTAACAGTATGTAGTTTAATGTCCACTTAAATGATATGGCATGCATGTATGCAAACTACAAAGACGGGGAAAAGATGACATCAAACATTCTGTAACAGAAGAGAATTTTGTTTAGTTTTCTTATTCTTAGGGAAATTAGGGGAAAAGGCCAGTCACAGCATCATTTTTTCTTCTTTACCTGATCATTTCCTCTGTGACTTCTTTAACTTATTACAAAATGGTGATTAATTTTCAATATATAAAGATGATGATGAAATTAAAAAGGGATGTTGTGTAATTTTAGTAGATCTATCTATAGACTTGACAGAAAGGATTTTGTAAATGTCATTTCTACCAGAGCCATTACTTCTCAAAGAATTTCTCACCCTTGAAGTTTGCAAAATATTTTCAAAATTATATATATAAAAAAAGGATTCAAGAAGAAAAATTATATTCATGCATACAAGTTAAATGTTTGATATGAAATGCTTGTTGTCTGAATGTTTATGTCAAGTAAATGAACATCACAATGTCACAGTTACACAATTAAATCATTTCTAAATTGAAATAATATGGATACGTATAAAGAAAAGTAGGTGTTCACATTTGAAAACAGTTATTGTCAGTCTAGCATTGGTTAGCCAGCAAGTCACTTCTAATGTCACGATATTGTTTGGTAAAATTGTGGTTTGGATGACATTTGCCTTGCAATTTAACAGTGGCCACTTCCACAGGTCTGTTTTCACATATCCTTGAATATTTGTGTCAGCAAAATCTGTTTCTTGGTATCACCAGAGTTAGTTAAAATGAAATTGTAAACAAGTTGTGATGGTCAGGAAATATGAATTTCAAAAAATCCTTGTAAATATGTGTGAAATATCAAAATGAATGTATGTAATATTCAGGTAATATGTGTTTGGTATGAATGTACATTGACATATGGTCAATAGCCAGCAAGAGCATGAGTGAGTGAGAGTTTGATGTCTTCTCCCACACCAGAATTCCATTCTTTTAAGCTCTCCACTAGAAGTGAAGAAACAAGGCATGGAGATCTGGTATGAGAGAATAGCATAAGAAAAATTAATTTATCACGTTTGATCATTCACATAATTGTATAAGTCGCATTTAAATACCTGCATGTGAATAAGTAGAGGAGAGTAGATAGTGTGGTTGTAAAGACATTTGGAGTGTGCATGTTTTGTCTGAATGGCCATTGTCTTTTTGTTTGTGCACTAAACTACTTCAGATGTTCAAGTAGTATAATTTTGTTACCCCAATTTCAAATAAGCTTAATTGTTTCTTCAATTAATTGATATTTACCAAAAAGGAACCCAAATTGTTTTTATTATTTAATCTGTCTTTCTATTTATAACTTTTTTCCCAGAGGGACTTTTCTTTAACTACCACTCATTACAGATATAATATGTTAGAAAAAAAGAGTAGTTTGCTGGAGTTGCCATGATTTGATTTCTTACAATTGAAGTGAAGATTTTGAGTTGTTAGAGTTGAAAATATTATGAAAGTCGCCACAGTCTTTGCAGATTATCAAATTATTGGATTTGGATGTTCAAGAAAATTGTATTCATTCAACTGAAAAAAGATTATCTTTTTTTTAATTATTTCAATGTTCAAAGCATGAAAGATATGATTAAACTAGAAATTAAAATATGACTGTAAAAATATGTTACCAAAGTTGACATTTGTTGCTAAGAAAAAAATTAAGATGGTACAAACCCCACTGACTTGACCAGTATTGATAAACCAAGGCCACTGTTGTTTTAGTAAGGAATTCATTGTCAGAATTATTATAAACGTTGGTTTGAAATATTTTGTAATAACACTGAAGGTAAATAAATCTCAGACCAGCAATTGGGAAACGTATTTTTGAAGAAAAAAAAATGCACAACATGGAATGATAAAAATTATTCATCGCATAACTGATTAACTGTAAGTGATAGATATATAGTTCATGGAATCTGTAATGATGTACGTAATTTAGCTTTGGTGATTTTCATGTTAACATAAGGTTTATTTTTTCCAATTTCTTGATATAAATTAAATTCAGAGTGTTCTCTTCAAACATCCCTAAGTATGATGGTGTTGTAGTAAAATATAAAATATATATTGTAAAAAAGGTAAAATTAAAGAAGTGATGGGACACGAAATTTACTTTGAGTGGAGAAAATTTGGTTACTTTTTATCCGCCTTTTAGTTTCCTGTGCTTGTTTTGAGACTTCAAACTACAGGAATAGGCCCACGTTTTGCTCCTTTGTGATTAGTTTTGATCAGGAGATATTTTGAATTAAGTTGAGAATATTCCTCGCACTGCCCTGCAGTTGTTATGGGTTGTACTCTCTGAAATAAAAGTGGAGGGTTTTCAAGGACTGAATGGTGTGTTATGTATGACTTGTTGGTATATTTGTTGTTACTTTGCAGGTGAAAATCAATTACATGTATTTTAAGTGTACTTGTAATAATTGCTTAAATAAAATCTAAGCTGTACAATTCTTGTTTGTTGATTTATCATGCTAAGTATCTAGGTGTCATCCCAGCAAGCTGCTAAACTGGAGAGTACGATTTTGTCATAAAAACCAATGCCAATAAAACACATCTTCTCCAAATGGCTTTTTATATATTTTTGAGCTATTTATATGTTTTATGCTATTGTTTGGTTAAATTCATCTATAAGAGATCAGTCAAAGGAAAGATAAAAAAAATCTAGCATGATGACATGTTTTATTCTCATGACAAATATAATATTAATACAATTTTCAATAATGAAACTTACTAAGAAAGGAGTCAACATCAGGTGTAAGTGGGTGTTAATTGGGTACTTTGCTGTGAGTATGGATGCCATAAGGTATGCAAGGCGATTAAATAAAAGCTAAGAGGTGTATATGAAGAGGGTATTTTCAATAATATCACAGTGTACCACAAATGATGGCCATTTCTAGTTATTCACCTGTTACTATAAACTTGGTTAAGGATAATTCAAAAGGTCACCTTTACTGTATATCGTACAAATTTTACTAGAGAGATAAACATTACATACTGTCATATTGTGTTGTATGTATCAAAGGACACGCTAATGCAGTGTGTACTAAAAAGCAGACAATGAAGTGACTAGTACAGTAAAAACTATCATTCTATCTCATGATACCTTAGTTAATATTGGCTGTAATAACTGGGCACAAGAAAATCATTAAGGGTGTATCTGAAGGAGAAAATACATGGAAGTAATTCTACTCTAGTTTTGCAAAATGTAAGAATATTAAGCCATGAGTCAATTTTTAAAATTTGTCTTTAGTAGTTTTATTAAATCGTAGGAACTTGCCTTATATCTTTTCCCGTCTACTGAACAGCTGTAAAAGTGGACATAAACCCTTTTTTAAAAAATATCTTAAAGAAATGACAAAACTCATCTAAACCTATGAAGTATATATTATGAATACGAAAAAATGAATTCTAGGATAAGACACCAAAGCCTCTAGAAGGTTCAAAAATAAGGGTGATGATTTCAGACCTATACAAATGGTATGTTCAGTTAACATTACTTTATTTTCAATATACGATGTAGGCTAAATGTTAACGTTCTGAATTTATACCCAGTGTAAAAAGTATGACAAATACATAACATAAAATTATTGTTATAAGTTTTGCTGAGCGTCGAACACTGAACTAAAATTCTGGGTTAGACCACTCCGGAAATTGAACCGGTTACAATATGGAAGAGTAATTTCCCTTTCCTTGATGTTTCAAGATTAAAAGGGAAGTGGGTTTCCGACCAAAGTTTTAGCACGTTCAAATCGTCTCAACCTAAACGCTAATTTTTTGCTTCCTTGTTGGTCTATCATTACTGATAGAATATCGAATTCTGAACTTTTGTCATATGACTAGTTTTCATATCTCTCAAACGCGGACTTTGACCAAAGTAGTAATGTTCATTTCGCCACCTCTCATCTTGTGAAGCACAGTCGGGACACATAGCCGGCTAGCGTTGACACCGTTTGCTGTTATCAAGGTATTAGGCAAAATGACGTTTATTTTCTACAAATACATGTAATTTGCGATCAGGTTTGCTGGCGACACCATCTCGGAGAAGGGTGTATTGAATGTTTGCATTAGATTCTTGGATCTAGCTTGAAACATGTAAATTATGTTTATCTTCATTTTATTCAGATCAGCCCGAAGGGTTCTGAATGTCAACTTTGATTTTACTTTAGGATTTGTTTTGCACATTTGAACTTGTTAATGGACATATAAGCTCACTGTATGTTCTGGAAACAATTTTATTATGAGCGTTGTCCGGAATTGTGACATCCTACATTCTGACCCCAATGTTCATGCAGGAATTAAATATTGGTGTCATGCTTTTTTCCCATGACATTCCATCAGGGTAACTTTAATCAGTCATAATATCATTATTTTTACCATATGTCAACAGTTCCATGTTGTGGAAACAGTTTTATTATGAGAGTTGTCCGGAATTATGACATCCTACATTCTGACCCCAAGGTTCATGCAGGAATTAAATATTGGCGTCTTGCTTTTTTCCATGACATTCCAACAGGGTATCTTTAATAAGTTATAATATCAGTATTTTCACAATATGTCAACAGTTCCACAATACTCGGATTTCATTTGAGGTCAATGTCTATCAACCTATACACTGGCCTGTTTTAACACAACAGGGGAAGACACATGCCTGTCAAGTGCCCTGACAGGAATCAAAACTATGTCTACCGCCTTTGACAATCCCCGGGTCTACCAACTGAGTCAAAGCAACATGCTTTTAAATGAAGCTGTGTGATTAGCCTTATTTAACACTGACTGTTCCATTCACCTCCCCTGTTTTTTGTGACATTTCCTAGATCACAATCATACAAGACTCAATAACCCATGGGATTTTAGTGGGTGTCAGTGTAAAAGAACAGGGATTCCAGAAAATATTTCTGTTGAGTGCCACGAGAGGAATTGAATTCAGGTGTACAGTGTGATAATCCTTGCCTCTACCAACTGAGCCAAAGAGGTCGTGCTCCATCAGCTGAGTGACAGTGACCATATTGAACACTATGCACATGCAACACTGACCTGCTGCTTTTACGCTTTAGAATTAATTGCTCTTGAATTGCTCTTCAGTTGTCATCTGTTTCTGTTATCTTGAAGACATTGTAACTAAAGATCACCAGGTTAATAAATGGATCACTGTTAACAAAAAGAGATAGAACAGTCTTGTCCTTGCCCTACCATTAGTAGAACTAGTCTATATGATACATCAGTGCAACAAGTTAACATAACTTCTGTGGTTCATTACAGTTGCTTCAGTTCAATATTAAGCAAAGAAAGAAAATAATTAATATTAAAAAAAACATGCTCTGTTACAGCCATGCCAATGCTTTAAAACTTTCAATTTGTGCTCCTCGTAGTCGGTTGACTGTGATTAAAACAAAGTTGATATAAAACATCATCAGAAATACAAGAATCTGAAGATTTTATTGAAGTGCAGAAGAATATTGACTTTTTGGTATGTTTATTCAGTAAAAATGGAGCCCCTTTGGTTTATAAACGTCACAGAGGGGTAGGATTTTCCGAATATTGATCTTTTATACAATTGATTTCAACCAGATTATTTAGCTTCAATATATTTTGCACAGCTATTTGAAAATATGACAAATATTTAAAGCTTATTTCCAAATTTATTTTTTCCTTTCCAAATTTTGGCAGCTCAATATTTTTCTTCTCCAGAATCATGCCATCGACAAAAGAAAATGTATTGATGGGCCTAGGGGGTGCTGCAGGTGCTGGCATCCTAGCATGGCGAACAATGTTTCCATGGATAGGCTATGACTTTGAAATCATGAAAGCTGGGAAGATTGCACAAAATGAAATGATGGCTGACTTTGAGAAAAGGCGATTTGTAATCGACATGTTTGAGGAACAAGTTGCCAAGCATCCAAAAGACACAATGTTGATCTTTGAAAACCGCATCTACTCATACGAATTGATGAACAGTCAAGCCTGTAAGGTTGCTAATATTGCCTTGAAATGGGGACTGCCACAAGGATCCACAGTAGCTATATTTTTCGAAAACGAGCCTGATTTTATATGGACGTTTCTTGGTAAGGAATATTCCTTTTCTTTCATCAACACTATATTAGAGGGTTGGAGAGCTGCTGCTCATCCAAAAGCATTTGACTGAAGGGATGGCATACATATGATGGTTACCCTACTTAACTATAAGTGATATTGGAATCTGTTAGTACATCATTGCAAGTAATAACTGATGTACCAAATCAAGGTTACTGTGACCTATTTTTTTTCTGTTTCACAGACTAAGACTTGACTTTGATTTTAAGTCAGATTCTTAGGTTTCATATCTCAATTTCACTCGAAGAACAGACAAATGTTTTGAAGTATTTTCTTGTGATCAATTTACTATCATTTGTAATTTCTTTTCCCATATATTTTAAATGTCTTTTGAAAAAGGTAGTTTCTCAAATTAGGCAAAGGTTTATATATGTTTAAGTAGTTAACGACAAAATTTTTACTACATTTTATTTTTAAGGTCTCCTGAAACTTGGCCTTGGTGTGGCATTTCTTAATATCAACACAAGGTCCAAACCACTTGTACACACTATCAAAGTCAGTGATGCTAAGGTAGTCATCATTGGAGCAGGTAAATACCCTTTCAACAATTTGTTATATGGAATTAGGGTAGGTTGATAAAATGATTTATTGTCCCTTGAAGACAGTTAAATGCAGTTTAGTGATGTTATCATATGTACAGCTCTAGTGGCTTCATTACTTGAGAGATTTTCATCAGAGCTCTGATGGTTTCATTCTACGAGGAATTTTTACCAAAATTCAAGCACTGGGCAATCTCTTATTTTGCTTTAGTCAAGGTTAAACCTATATCACCTTTATCTCTTTTCTCAAAGAGAGAAAAACATTCACCAAATTTTTTGCCGCAGATAATGCTCTTTCCCTCAGATTAATGTGTAATTGATTAAAGACTTAAAGACAGACAGTGTTGAGCTCTGAGGATAATGAAGCCATGTGTGTGTTTTAAGAGAATTGTGGTCATATCCTTAATATAACTATTAGAAATGATTTTGCTTCAAAATTCTTCTTAAAACTTTCACCTTATGCATTTCATACATTTGTCAAATTTTGACAACGATTATTGTATGATATTCTGCCACTCTCGATCTGGAGTATATTTGTCCAATATCTCATCCCTGAGTTTTGACCTATCTTTAATTGGAAGGCTTTGTGAAAATCCTTTAAATTCTTTAGATCTCTGGACATTTATATTTTGTTGCAATTCCATTTTGTTAAATGTTTTGATGCAAGAATACCAGTATTTGTCATAGGAACCAATGTCCAATGAGCAGTATTTCGTCCTCTAGGTCAGTGGAGTATATCATGATATGTATGCAGGTGTTTTTTAAAAGTAAATAAGAAAGAATCACAACTCTTGAGGCCTGGTTTCCTAAAATTGTTGGAAACCAGGCCTAAGGAGTTGAAGCTCTTTCTTAGACCTTGATAATTATATTATTTTGGTTTTATTTTCCACAGCTGATGAGCTTCACCGAGCAGTAGATGAAGTAAGCGGTGAAATTGACATTCCAATTTATCTGGCGGGTTCAACTTCAGAGGACGTTGGTCATCGCTACAAATCCTGGGATTATATGATGTTGAGGAGCCAGGATAATGATATTTGTAAAACTATCAGAAATCCCCTCACTCTAACATCACCCTGCATCTATATATATACATCAGGGACAACAGGTCAGTCATGCATTTCTTTTCGTTATTTATTATCCAAATTAGTAGATGTATATTGTAGTCACTTTGTGCATCAGTACATGCTTAAATTGTTATATACATCTTTACTGAAAAATGACATGAAATCTCCTGAATTCTTTACAGAAGATTACTAAATATGATATATTTGGCTATTTCAGAGGACATTAACATGATCACAAAAATATCGCTTATCGTAATGTCAGTAGCCAACTCGGCCTGATTCAACTGTCAGAGAATAATATGACAATTGCCATTGTGTGCAGCAGATTAAATGGTACACAATAAATGTTTACAGAATACTTTCTTTTCATTGATATGTCAATAATCAAGTGTTTGAAAGTTGACATCTGGAGCATGTTTTAAAATAAGATATCCTGTGATATCCAGTTTGATCCATGGAAATATCCGGCCATACCACCATTATTTTTACCTTGTAGCATGGAGATAGCAAGTTTAACACATGATCACATTTTGATAGTCATCATTCAAGGGTTAAAGGGTGAAAAATTCTTCATCACTGTAAAAGTAAAAAGTTATTTTGTAGCTTATGTGACAAATTCTGTTTGTAGCTTATATCATAAATCCTGTTTGTAGCTTATATCATAAATCCATCCTCATTCATTTAAGCTTATTTACGTCATACTCGTTATCATTATAAAAGACCAAAAGAAGTCTTTTTCTGCATCCATTTTTCATCATCCAGTATCCATCCATAGTACTAAGTATATGTATCAGATATCTTAAGAACCCCTGAACAAATCTGGTTCATATTCACACCATAGCACCACACCAAGTTCTACACTTTATGATAGTTTGTTCTTTCAAGGTTAGAGGATTAAACATGACACTTGTTACATTCACCGAGGTCACCCATTGTGAACTTTAAATAAGGACATCAGTTAAGTAATGAAAAGTGTTATACATTTCAGGTTTACCAAAGCCAGCCATTTTGAACATTGCAAAGGCTGTTGGGTACTCCAAGTTCTGTCTGTTCTCGGGGTTGAAAAAGGGTGACATCATTTATACAACCACTCCGTTGTATCACAGTGCTGCAGTCCTGGCCATGTTCTGTGTGATGAATACAGGTGAGAGTTATAAAGTGTGGCTTGACAAGACAAATGATCATCAAACTCTGAGTGATATTGACATAAAAGTACATGTACTACCGTATTTATCAATGATTAAGCCCAAGCTTGGTTATCCTGTATTGCTGTATAGTAAAATTACTGGTATTTATCAATGATATTTCATTTCTGTAAGAAGAAATCCACCTCACAACTTTAAGAAGTAATATGTTGGTCTCGTGAGCTAGTGGCAGTTATACTGTAAATCATTTACTTTTCATGTGGGATTTATTTTTGCATTTATACACGAGGAGAGTCAACCACAAATTCAAACTCCTTACGATTATTTGTACAAAAGTTACTCTTGATGACATCCATGCTGATTCAGTAACATATATCAGATCTATATATCTTATAGCCCATCATTCATGAATTGTAAACCATTGTTCATGAAATCATGTATTCACGAAAATGTCTGAAGAGGTGAGTTTGTAAAATAAAATATTTGTAAAACTTAAGTGATTTACAGTATTTATCTGCCATTGAGCTGATGCCTGATAATTAATACTTTTGTGTAGCCCCATTCTACATCAATCTGACATTAATCTGATGCCTGATAATTAATACTTTTTTGTTGCCCCATTCTACATCAATCTGACATTAAGCTGATGCCTGATAATTAATACTTTTTTGTTGCCCCATTCTACATCTATCTGACATTAATCTGATGCCTGATAATTAATACTTTTTTGTTGCCCCATTCTACATCAATCTGACATTAATCTGATGCCTGATAATTAATACTTTTTTGTTGATGCCTGCCTGATAATTAATACTTTTTTGTTGCCCCATTCTACATCTATCTGACATTAATCTGATGCCTGATAATTAATACTTTTTTGTTGCCCCATTCTACATCAATCTGACATTAATCTGATGCCTGATAATTAATACTTTTTTGTTGCCCCATTCTACATCAATCTGACATTAATCTGATGCCTGATAATTAATACTTTTTTGTTGCCCCATTCTACATCTATCTGACAATAAACTGATGATAAGCTGATTAATATTTTTTTGTTGCCCCATTCTACATCTATCTGACAATAAACTGATGATAAGCTGATTAATATTTTTGTGTAGCCCCATTCTACATCTATCTGACATTAATCTGATGCCTGATAATTAATACTTTTTTGTTGCCCCATTCTACATCAATCTGACATTAATCTGATGCCTGATAATTAATACTTTTTTGTTGCCCCATTCTACATCAATCTGACATTAATCTGATGCCTGATAATTAATACTTTTTTGTTGCCCCATTCTACATCTATCTGACAATAAACTGATGATAAGCTGATTAATATTTTTGTGTAGCCCCATTCTACATCTATCTGACAATAAACTGATGATAAGCTGATTAATATTTTTGTGTAGCCCCATTCTACATCTATCTGACATTAATCTGATGCCTGATAATTAATACTTTTTTGTTGCCCCATTCTACATCAATCTGACATTAATCTGATGCCTGATAATTAATACTTTTTTGTTGCCCCATTCTACATCTATCTGACATTAAGTTGATGATAAGCTGATTAATATTTTTGTGTAGCCCCATTCTACATCTATCTGACATTAAGCTGATGATAAGCTGATTAATACTTTTGTGTAGCCCCATTCTACATCTACCTAAGACAGAATGTGTATTTATATTCCTTACACTTGTATATATGGTTTCAATATTATAATATTGTGTATCTGCTGTTGATAACAGCATGCACAGGCCCCCTGGGCTTATTGGCGGAGAAATACAGTATTATATAGTTGTAACAGCCATCACTTTTCATGCATCATTGTGTGGTGTGTGTTAACTTTTAACATCTTCTCAAAGGCCCAGGCTAGTCAGATGAATATTAAAGCCCATTAGTCCAATGATAAATATCATGGGGCTATTTTCCAGTTACCTTGGTTATGGCTACTTTGTGGGGAATAAAATTGTGTGCATGTTTATTCATTGCTATCCATATATACAGGCATATCAAATACCATTTCAGAAATTTTGATGAACTGCTAGGTATTTAAATCTGTGCTATCATTTATGACCATGATTGTATACCGAAATTAAATTCCCCATGAATATTACCAGCTTTAAGGTATATTTTTGATTCTCAGGTGCAACCATGTTATTACGTCGGAGGTTTTCTGCCAGTCATTACTGGTCAGATTGTAGGAAATATGGAGTGACCGTTGCGCAGTACATTGGGGAACTCTGCAGATACTTGCTGGCACTACCAGAGGTTGGTACTCTTTAGATACTTGCTGGCACTACCAGAGGTTGGTTTTCTGTAGATATTTGCTGGCACTACCAGAGGTTGGTACTCTGTAGATACTTGCTGGCACTACCAGAGGTTGGTATTCTGTAGATACTTGTTGCTGGCACTACCAGAGGTTGGTACTCTGTAGATACTTGCTGGCACTACCAGAGGTTGGTTTTCTGTAGATACTTGTTGCTGGCACTACCAGAGGTTGGTACTCTGTAGATACTTGCTGGCACTACCAGAGGTTGGTTTTCTGTAGATACTTGTTGCTGGCACTACCAGAGGTTGGTATTCTGTAGATATTTGCTGGCACTACCAGAGGTTGGTATTCTGTAGATACTTGCTGGCACTACCAGAGGTTGGTATTCTGTAAATACTTACTGGCACTACCAGAGGTTGGTATTCTGTAGATAGTTGTTGCTGGCACTACCAGAGGTTGGTATTCTGCAGATACTTGCTGGCATTACCAAAGGTTGGTATTCTGCAGATACTTGCTGGCACTACCAAAGGTTGGTATTCTGTAGATACTTGTTGCTGGCACTACCAGAGGTTGGTATTCTGCAAATACGTTGCTGGCACTGCCAGAGGTTGGTTTTCTGTACATATTTGTTGTCAGAAAAACAAAATGGCTGCCAGGAAGTCATCTTAGATTTTGACTATGATAATTTGTTACTGCTATTTCTCGAGGAGAACCACATGGATGTTTCTTGAATTTCACATGTAGATTCCTCTTAGTCTCTAGTTGTACTGTTTGACTTCAGGACTGATTAAAAAGACAAAAGGGGTGACAGGTGGCTGTCTTTTAATTAAAAATTAGAGGAAAGAAGAGAAAAGATCCAACTTTTAAAGAAAAAATGAAGACCAAACAATTACGGGCACCAAATGTTGAGTATTGAGATTATTACTGACCAGTTGTGCTATGTCCACCGATGATCCATGTAGAAATTTCCTTTTGAAAAGACTTGTTATTGCTACTTCTTTTAAACGTTTTTCAAAACAGGACTTATAACTAATGAGTAGGTCCACAGAAATCCTTTATCAAATTTGGATTCCTTCTCCACATTTGAATTAGGAACTACATATTAGACACTAAATTATATAACATTTGGTGATGACAGTTTAGATTTATGAAAAGTTATAGCACTAATACCCATCAGATGTACTACTAACATTCAATACACCTGCTTCCTTGAAAATAACACTACAAAAAGTCCAACACTAATGAAGTTCTCTCTGGAACTTTCAATCATTTTCATCCATTTATGTCAAATTCAGTTGTAATTCAATTAGATGTTGTTATCAGGGTGTATCCATTCACTTTAAGAAAAAGGTAGAAACACCTGCTGAGAGTGTGCCAAAGTAATCCTGATGTATTGATCAAAAAGACATAACAGAATCCAACATCAGATGTGTTTTTGGTTTGGTTTAAACAATATTTTATTTTCAGATTTTCATTTACAACATACACATACACACACACAAATTATAAAATTGAAAATGGATCTGGCAATAAGATTATAAATCTTATATTAAGCCATCTCCAAAGATGTGTTTTTGTAATTGCTACTATACCTGTATGATTATCTTTAGAATCCAGAGGATGGCGTACACAATGTTCGAGCTATGATTGGCAATGGCTTGAGAAAGGACATCTGGACAGATTTTCAGAAACGTTTCAAGGTGCCAAAAATTATTGAATTCTTCGGAGCAACAGAAGGAACAAGTGCCATGGTAAATTTGAACGGCAGGGTTGGAGCTTGCGGAAGAATCTCTCCCTTCCTGGTATGTGTTGTTCTGAAGTTTTGTTAAAGGTAACATGTATGTGTTTTATTATATAAACACTATTTATATTAGTTGACAGGTTCTGTTGTTATTCACGAAATTATGGCCTTTTGAAGCGTAAATACCATCTGACCTTGTGAACACAACAACTTGAATAAGTATGAATGAATTAGGATGAAACTTGATATGCAGCCTTATATCAATAAAATCTCAGATGAGTTGGATAGTGAAATCAATTCAAGGGCAGCTTACAGAACTATGGCCTCTTCTGTTTTATTACTATTGATAATGATAATTTGAGTAAACATTAACCAATTTTGATGAAACTTATGATAATTTGTTTGATTGAGATTAATAAGGAGACCGTTTAGGCCCATGGACCGCATGTTTCTCTATTGTAGACACATTCTTTTTCTTTGGACTGGACTAAATAAAACAAAAATGACTTCGGTTGACTTTTGAGGTGACTAACATTAGATGGTGTTACACTGATATAAGACAGGGCTGGCATGAGGCTTACTTCAGATTTAACTATAAGCTTGGTGCCTTGTTTACCTATTTGATAATGTATGACTGTGCAATCAAGCAGGAGGTTTGTACCACTTTCCCCGAGAACAAGGGTTTGAGACGGTGACGGGGGATTTCTGTTAGAGTAGTTGATTCCCTATTGATGGTACAACAGTTTTACTCCACCATTCAGATCAACATTTACACTGTAATAATTGAATTGTATATGGTATATTGTTAAATGTTTTGATTTGAGTGAATGAAGAATGATACCTCAGAAGAGGTTCCTAGCTTTAATTCAAATGTTTAAAACCAAATCACTATGAAATATCACAATTTACTAATCAGTTGCTTTGAAGAATAAAAATTGCTGAACCATTTGTATGAAAATGCTGTTTTGGGTATCATGCCATTCTAGTTGTCATGTTAACATAACTGAAAGTGATGGTTTAAACATATTCTGCATCATGTTACCTCTGGACTGATTCGGGTTCAGACTGGTATTATACTGGACTGATATTGTACATGGTTGGAACTCTATATCGAGTGACCATATACACTAAACCTTGTTTTACTTCTGGCTAGGCTGGAATGACAGGAGTACTTATGACTGTGATTGGACTCATTAAACATCAGACTGACATTACTTCCCTACTGATACTTTTATTTTTGTTCCAGAATAAATTGGCAAGTAATAAGGTATTTATCGTCAAGTATGACCCTGATACAGAGCAGCCATATAGAAACAAACAAGGCTTTTGTGTGGAGTGTAAGATCGGTAAGTGATAACAGTTATAAACCAAAATACAGTTTAAACTTAGGAACTTGGCTAATGTCAAGTTATACAAGGAAATATATAAAGTATTTTTACCCTGCATCTGAATAGGCCTGCCTCATATATTTTAACTGTATTCAGCAGTGATGGAAACCAGGTGTTTTTTAGCATGTGCAAGGATTTGACAGATATTGCTTTTAGAAATGAATTAGTGATGTAATGAACAAGTTGATTTATAAAAATTCAAAAATCGCTGTTTAGCCTGATGAATTTTGGAACAATGTTTACGTACGAAGCAATTCTTCTGACATCTGTCATCAGACAAAATTCAGTATAACGTCAACGTCAGGTAAACACAGATTGAACCACAAAACTTTGCATGTCAATAGTAAGAATTTCAGTCAATGTTGGAGGATAAATAGAATACATGGTCAGTGTCTTAAAATATAAACTGTACTTTGGCTGAGGACAGAAAGACAAAAGTAGCTTGCCAGAGGCTCGCCACTTTTGTCTTTCTTCACCGTAAAGGCAAAAAAAATACAATTCAGTACCTTTTTTTGTAATATCAAGATATAGATATATGATGGGGTGTCTTCTTTTAAAAAGGAGGGGAGCAAGGAAAATGTCACACTTTGAGTTATCTTGACAAGTTCTGCTTGTCGAATATAGTTGAACTCTTGTGTCTTTTCACAAGATGAAATGAGGTGTTAATTTTTAGCTTGCTGTTGTAAACAGCCTCAGTAAGCAAACATGTAGAAATGGTGTCAGTAGGTGATATTAGACAACATCATATGAAAGCATTTTGAGTATGTATTATGTATAAGTCCATGTTTATGTATCAGGATTGCAAAATCACACATCAGTACTAGAAGTGATTCAAATATTGGATGAAACTGATTATTAGTTTGTGACTCCTTTGTGTAGGTGAACCAGGAATCCTGATAGCAGGTATTCCTCCCATTTATGCGGAAGGCTTCTACAAAGGTGGAAAGGAATTGAACGAGAAGAAAACACTACGTGATGTATTTGTTAAAGGAGATGCCTTCTTTTGTTATGGAGATTTACTGTACAAGGACAGTGATCATTTTGTTTATTTCCAGGACCGTGTAGGGGACACATTCAGGTAAGTGAAGGTTGGAAACTATAGAACCTTGTAGGGGACACATTCAGGTAAGTGAAGGTTGGAAACTATAGAACCTTGTAGGGGACACATTCAGGTAAGTGAAGGTTGGAAACTATAGAACCTTGTAGGGGACACTTTCAGGTAAGTGAAGGTTGGAAACTATAGAACCTTGTAGGGGACACATTCAGGTAAGTGAAGGTTGGAAACTATAGAACCTTGTAGGGGACACATTCAGGTAAGTGAAGGTTGGAAACTCTAGAACCTTATAGGGGACACTTTCAGGTAAGTGAAGGTTGGAAACTATAGAACCTTGTAGGGGACACTTTCAGGTAAATGAAGGTTGGAAACTATAGAACCTTGTAGGGGACACATTCAGGTAAGTGAAGGTTGGAAACTCTAGAACCTTGTAGGGGACACATTCAGGTAAGTGAAGGTTGGAAACTATAGAACCTTGTAGGGGACACATTCAGGTAAGTGAAGGTTGGAAACTCAGGGGGACACATTCAGGTAAAGGTTGGATGAAAGGTTGGAAACTATAGAACCTTGTAGGGGACACATTCAGGTAAGTGAAGGTTGGAAACTATAGAACCTTGTAGGGGACACATTCAGGTAAGTGAAGGTTGGAAACTGTAGAACCTTGTAGGGGACACATTCAGGTAAGTGAAGGTTGGAAACTATAGAACCTTGTAGGGGACACTTTCAGGTAAGTGAAGGTTGGAAACTATAGAACCTTGTAGGGGACACATTCAGGTAAGTGAAGGTTGGAAACTATATGACCATATAGGGGACACATTCAGAAGTGAAGATCGGAAACTAGAGGTTCATATAGGGGAAACATTCAGAAGTGAAGGTCGTATACTATAGAATCATATAAGGGACACATTCAGAAGTGAAGGTCTTATAGTAATTTAGATTCCTGTAATAGAGATCTGGATTAAAATACTGATATTAATCTTTTATCAAAGGTGGTTATTTAACACTAAATATTTGACCCCAAGGATGGGCTTATTACAAGACACTGTAATTGTATTTGTTGGCATGTTATACTCCATTGCTATAGACACGGAGAGTACATGATCATGAGATATAAGCTTTGTGAATATGAAGAAAGATTAAAGTTTATAATTTTATTACAATATTTTTTGGATATTGTATCCACTACCATGTAAATAGTCAAGATCACTTCTTCATTCCTTGGTGGAATGGATCATTTCATTTCACACTCATAACATATCATTATGTTTTTACACACCACAGGTGGAAGGGTGAAAATGTTTCTACCAATGAGGTTGCCAATGTGTTGACTGGACTGGACTTTATACAGGATGCTAATGTTTATGGTGTACACATTCCAGGTAATTAAAATTTACTTTTTTTCTGTGGTGACAATTATTGAGCACCTGTAGCCATGAAGGTTTATGTTTAATATACAAATGTAATGGGGGGCAATCATATGAATATAGTTTGGTAATTGACTTTGGAGTACAGCGTATTCCGTCTCGTGAATTTGATCTATGTGATATATTACATACATATTAAAATATACATTAAACGAAAGGTACAACGATCATGAAAATAACACCTGCACTTCCAGTTTGTCAATTAAAATCACAAAATTAATCCCCGATGGAAATAAGCACATTCACAGTAATGTGTAACAGTGTTTTTTGGCCGTTAACTTGTTTCTTTTCCATGAGAAGTCATAGGCGATATTGGACTGGCAAATTTTAAAAGGAGAAGTTTTTTCAGTCCTACTCTTCAATGTTAATAATATGGCATAGCTAAAATTAGGAATTCCTGTTGTGACACTAAATGACAAAATTGTGCATGCAAGGCAAAAGAAACACATTATACAATATTATAGGAAATTTTTCCATTGAATTTAATCAAACTTTTCATTTCTTTTTCTTCTAAATAATAGGTAAAGATGGCAGAGCAGGTATGGCGGGAATTTTATTGAAAGAAGGTGTAGAATTCCGTGAGGACATGCTCAAAAAGATTTACCAGCACTGTCAACAGAACCTGCCAGGCTATGCATGGCCTTTGTTTCTGCGCTTTGTCAAGGAAATGAGCTTAACAGTAACATACAAACAACGTAAGGTTGAGGCAGTCAAAGAAGGTTTTGACCCTATAAAGGTGACGGATCCTTTATACAACATTAGTGTCAAAGATAAGACCTATGTACCACTGACTTCGGACACCTTACCTCAGTTTCTACAATCTAAGTTATGAACGGCTTAGACATGCCTCAGGTTACCATACAAAAAAGTGCCTTGTCCATCTGTTCTAGTAGACTCAAGGATCAATATTAGAATTAATTGTTTCAGCTACATTGTAGAGAAAACTCTTTCAACTTTTGTACAATTTTCATGAAATGTAACTTAGATGTTTAAGCGAGATAGCTACTGAGTTCATATACTTTTGTAATTGTTTCTTTTATCCCATCACAATCATCAGGTAATATGAGTTGTTCCAATCACCTGTCATCTGTTGTCAACCCATAGTTTTAAGAAATTTTGTTAATTGCTATTTCTTGGGAAGTCCTGGATTTGATCTTTCTTAAATTTCATGGTTAGGTTCTTTGTCTCTTGTGCAGTGCAAAGATGACAAGGACAGACTGACTTCCCATATAACTGATAAAGATCATGCAATGGTGGGTGCCAGGATCCAATAGAGACATTTTATTGTTACTGTACATATTTTGTGTTTTGAAGCAATCAAATAAAAGATTCTTCAGAGAAGTATGAGGCTTTCTGTAGTTTACATATAAAGCAGTAGTGAAGACCAAGGATATTAATCCACAGCAATAATTTTGATGGCATGGGTTTATTGCCAGAAAATTACTCAGATATGTATATATTATGAATTTTATATGTGTTTTATACCTGTAGAAACTCAGGTAAATTCTATGGTTGTAAGAATCATTTAATAATACCAAATGTACGGAAAGACTTGGATACATTTCACAACTTCAGCAGAAAGAGTTTTTTCGTTGCTGATAAAGAACAAGGAACTCTCTACAAGTTAGTGATCCGTTCGTTATATCAAGTGTGCTACGTTTTAGCACACCTGTAATTGTTCTTTCTTAGTTAAGTGATTTTTCGTTTTTCTTTGGCCTAGTCATATGAGTTTTCTTTTTTCTTTTACCTAATCAGATGAGTTTTCTTTATTCTTTGACTTGGTCAAATGAGATTTTCTGTGATTGTAGAAACCTGTCTCTTTAGAACGTCTATTTTCTGAATTTTTCAGGATTTTCAAAAATATTTTTTATTTCTCAATATATGTGAATTTATGGAAATGTCCTACTTGTATTCAGAAATCTTATGTTTATACACACCAAGTGGTTTCAGGAAGTCCTACTCATGATTGTGGAAGAGGATGGTTGGAGGTTTAAAAGTTAGTTAGTTTTGTGTGTATATTTCATATATTTTTTGTCATTGTAAGCTTGAATATAACCTGGATTCCAATTTTATCTGGGTAATTTAAACCATTTGATTTTCACAGCAATTATAAAACAATTTTCTTACAAAAAACATTCCATTTGTCAAGATTTTCTCTTATTCTTTTGCACTCTGTCATTATTTTGCTACAAGATTGAGTACCTCCTCAAAGGTCTGTTATTGATAAATATTAATTATTCTTGTTTTAAAATAGTGGGTTTTGAACTATCTTAAAGTGACTATTTACTCTTAATTCTATGCATGAAGATTCGAACCTTGGCTGTTCAATAAAAGGTATGCATGCTATTCAGGTGCATCTGACAAGATCTACTTGAGGAAATCTTCATCTTTAGTACCAAAGAGTGAAGAGGTATGATAGTTGGGTTCAAAAAAAGAGAAAGAAAAATGAAAAAAGCCCCTTTATTCATGTTTAAACACTCAATTAATTACTGATAGATAATAAAACTAGAGATATGATTTTGTTCTAATTTACTGGTTTGTGGATTGTTTAAAAAAAGATGATACATCAACATATATTCAGACTCCTATCTTTTATGTTACACATTTAAGCACTTTCTGATGAATAAATTGTTTTGTCATCAATCTTAGCTTGTTGCATGCTTTGGTGGAGGTATGGTAGTTAATCTTCAAACAAAGATTGATCACATGTAGAATGATCCTATGGTGCTAGCGTGCTTAATTACCATTTACATAGACCTTATTTAAAGAGATGTGTTTATGATAAAACAATACATGCCCTTTGGCGCCTTGTTCAATGGTGATTAAATCTTTCAATTTTTAATTTTATATGTTATATTTACCATGAACAATTCAAGGTAAACTATTATCACAAATGAAATTTATTTTTTAAATTTTATTTTTGATTGTTTATATAGATATATAAGATTTACAGATGTTGATAAAAAGATAAATAAATCAGACTTTCATCCAAAAATTTGCTGTTTGTCTTTTATACTGTCATTAGCCAGGCAATATCATAGTTTCAATTATTGTACATTTGATTGTTTATAGCAATGAGAGTTGAGTGTCACAAAAAGAATGTGATTAAATTAATATCTGAGTAATCTTATGCGTAATGAAAGACTCTCAAGTGGTCATTTAGCAAATGTGTGACTTCAGGCATCTCTGGTTACATGAAAGTGACACCCACTCATGGAAGTGACCACTAAGTCATTCTGTGGCCCTTAAGGGACCACAAAGTCATATTGTGACCTCTAAATGACCACTGAACCAACTTGTGACCACCTGTTAGTAACTGTTAAGTCATATTGTGACCTGTGAGTGACCACTGGGTCATCTTGTGGTCATTGATTGCCTCTGACCCATTTTGTTACAAGCATTATCCATCTTGTTACCTCTGTGCAAGGTAACAAGTGTACCGACCAAGTTTCATCAAATCCTACCAGTCCTTCGAAAGATATTCATGCGGAAAGCAGCATCCGATAATGATTCAAGAAATCAGCCAATCAGGTCACAGCAACCACATTTTATATGCGGGGAATTCGCTTTTAATGGAACTTGGGCAAGGAATTAAGGTAACAAGTGTACCGACCAAGTTTCATCAAAATCCTACCGGTCCTTCAAAAGATTCAAGAACATTATGCTGCATCCAGAACCTATCAAGGATGCTGAGAAAAGCTCATGTAGTTGCAGAAACACACAATTCGAAAGCAAAATCGAATGTAGAAATTGTTATGTCAGAAATTTTCACGAAAAATAATTGTGAAGAAATAGCACCGAGGTCGTGGGTGGTGAGGACATCTTTGATGATGACGGCGATACTAACTTGGGTGTCATAAAGGAGAAAATCAGAATTTGGAATTTGGCAAGTAACGGTTCTAGACCATTTAAGAAAACAAATCAGCAACAACCATAGTCTTGACGTCGCTGCAAATATCAGGAAACTAGAACATGACTTGCAAGCTGGCGCAGTAGATCAGGTAAAATATCTGTCCTTAATTTCGGAAGATAAGAGCTTTCTGTACTCGCAAGATTTCGAATGGCAAGTCAGCACTTCCGGTGGCAGCACGTGGCTTTCGAACCCCTTACACTGTGGTTTCGACCAATGAATATGTGTTACCTCTGTTTCGAGACTACAGTGCCGTAGTGTTACAAAGCGACAGCTTGAGAAGTGTCCTCCGGCTTGGGCAGAAAGACAACAATAGGACACATAGCATCAGAGACGTGTGAAGACGTATATATACAGACCGGACGGACGGACGAACGGACGTTTCTGACAGGTCACTCGTACGTTGAGCTTTTATATACACTTAGTGATACCTTAATTAAGATTGTATATTTAATTAAGGTCTATTTACGTGGATTGTGAAAATATTAGAAAGGACTGCCGATCGTATACTTGCGAAATTCTGGAAGTCATGAAAGGATAAAAACATAATGTTCTTATATAAAAAGAAATGAACTTTGGAATTGAAATCACAATGATTCGCATAACATGTTAAGTCTTCGTGGTCAAAATAAAGGTATGCGTGAACGCATTTCTCTTATCCATAATCATCAGCAGCAGCAGCCAAATCGCTGTCGACGTTTTCGTCTCATCATCATTTAGTGATTGAAGACCAGAATGACTGATAGCAATTGACTCATCAAAGTGAATCACGACCTCGACAAATCATACATTTGTATTTATACGTCATAGATTTCCAACTGGGTTATTATATATATATATTGACTCACACTTATCAAAGTGAATCACGACCTCGACAAATCATACATCTGTATTTATACGTCATAGATTTCCATCTGGGTTAAATATATATACATACATACTTTTCTATACATCTGTACGATAACACCAACTTGCAACAACTCTTTGAAAACGTATTATCCTTCCTGTTGCAGTTCGATATACTAGGTTACCAAGAATGTCTGCTTGATACGCTATCGTAGAAACCAACTGCATGCTATGGATCTCGCTGTCAAATAGAATAGAACCTAAAGGATTTTAGCTGTCCATTGTACTTGTATGTGTAAGCGTTTTAATATGCTCCGAAAAGGAAAAAATGGAAGTTTTTCCATCAAAATTTCAACTGGCATCGTTCATGGCACTTAATCGGAATTCTGATCAACACATACACAATGTCATAACGAGAAAAGTGTTTAGTAATGACACAAAATGGGTCGTAATTATAATACAGAAATTGTGTTACTTTAATCAGCTTAAATATCTTCGTTTTGTGGTCTAGTGTATATATGTAAGAATGAAAATTCCTTTATTCACGCAACTTTAAATTTGTTTCCTGCAAACATCGGTGATATCGCGTCAATGGTATTTTCAATACTAGTTTGGTGGTGACGTCTTGAATAACAAATAGTATTGACTTCTTAAAAAAAGGGAGGAACAAACATACGTGTATATACCAACTCCATATAGTAAAACGTTTTTAAAATGCAATTTAAATGATTCGCGAGAAATGGTTCTGTGCATAAGGAGCAAAAACATTAAAGGGTTGAGTGAAGTTCTATTTCTACGGAATAAAGGACAAAATTTGTAAGATAGTGTGAAAACTAATCAGGTTGCCAGTTAAATATCCACACAAATTGACTCATCCTTTGAACTAGACTCTCCATTCCACGGACTCCACTGACTCAACTTTGTATACAGCTGATGTTTTCTAAGAAATGCAAACCGATGAAAGCTTAAGACATCCGTTCACCTTATACAATTGTAGTACAACAATACATTTCATATCCATACCTGGCTTTTGCTTCGTTAGCGATTCACTGTGCTAAATAAAGTTTTGTCTTTCATTATATGCTCCCGTGTGTACATAATAAGTGTAACCACGGTTAATCTACAGAATTTGAAACCCACAGCTGCACTCACTGGCGCCCCTTCTGATAGAGCTCTTCGTAATTTCCCGCGCAAAAACCAATATCGATAATAAATTATGAATTTATACGAAAAGTGACATGTTTATGTATATTTTAAATAGTTACTGTAACTTGAACTGTCATATTGGACGGTATATTTTGATAATCTCCCTTAACTTGTTAGGTAATATTTTAAATAGAAACAATGTTATTTGTAACGAATAACAAATATATAGTCAGTGTTTAGACTTAGATGTATATGCATTTATCCAATTATCAAAACCCGTCATCACAGCTGTTTTTGGTGATTTAGCATGGGAAAGTTGTATCATAATCAGTGAGCGTCCATTACATTGATTCACTATTTTCTGATATTGTAAAAACATTTTTTCGGACAGCAGGACATGTAAAACTGTGGCAAAAATGTGGATTTCCCTCCTACTTGTGAACTTTTATGTGCTCGATGTAAAGGCACTTTTGAAGACGCAGTCGCCTATTGTTTACTTGACTGCAAAGAGCCCATATTAAAGTCTCTGTGAGATAATCTTTTCACCAGTTTTGTGGACAAATATCCAGTTAATGTGTATGTATCATTTGACCAGGCGGACAGAGATGTCCAGATAGCGTCTCTGTTGGGTACACCCAGTGAGGACATTAATGAATCATTTTATGACGATTCATCTTTGTTTACATTTTTTATTAAAGATTGTCTAATGTTTTCTGAAAAGGCCTACAATATGACTTTTCAGTAAAGGCCATCTCCTATCTAATATTTGATGTGTTCTGCTAGAAATCTCCATTATTGATGGATTGGTTATTCACATTCATTGTTCAATATTTATATACATATATTCTTGCACTTTTTTCTTTAATTTTCACCTAAATTTACAATATTTGTCATTGTAATTACTCTTCAATATTTTGAGGAAATAAAGAAATGATGATGATGAGAGAATAAGGCCAAATTTCATCTCATAAATAATTTTTTTTTTACCAGAAAATAAGTCAATAGCCACACCAATTTTCTATCATCTGTCCTAAAAAAATCACGAACTTTTCCTCCATTTTGTGACAACTGAAGAATTATTTCTGATCACTCTGAATCGGAGTTATCTCCCGTCTTTACAACGAATCATTCGGGTGGTTTCTAGACTGTGCGCAGTCTTCCTATGATAAACCTCCATTAATCGAACAGGAAAAACATGGCATTGGACGTAAGGAAAAGGTTCGTGCGTACCTGTCTTTAATGAACATCGTGCGACAACTCGATGGCATGAGTCGTCTGCAGTACTATTGGCCTCGCAAGAGAGATGAAGAAAACACACGAGAGCAGTAATGAAAATAAACCGGACGTCGACAAAGCCAAAAGAGTATACAGGTGCGAGGCAGTATGATCATTTCCAATGTTTTGAAATGAAATTGCATCCGCAATAGTCGGATACTGAGACATACGAAATAATGTTTGAAAATATCATTGTAAGGTTAATCATTTGTCATTATTTACATAACCAGACGATAGCATTTTGTTTGTGTCAAAAGCAGTTTAGCTTTTGGCTTACTTTGGCCTATCTGCAGTTATATAGAAAACCTACTAGTATATTGTTTCAGCACGGACTACTTTCTCCGTTGACTTACAGACTAATGGAAAGAGCAGCTCATTAATGATATAGAAGTAACACTAATCAATCTTGAAGTTATACAGTTTATTTCCCTTATGAAAATTACTAAATTTTCTAGTTTAAGATAAAAATAATGCACAAAATTAGTCGATAACAGATATAATGCAGCTATTTAATAGATGTATAGATATTACTTCAAAAAGTTTAATAGCTAGTAGCTATGGGCTTTGTAGGTCTGAAAAAATATTCACTTCTGTTTAAGCGATAAGTAAAATATATGATATTGAAAGATTGACAAGCAAGGAGGGTGCTTTTCATTACATCTTCTTTTTCTTTTATTTATATTGTATGTATTTGAAAATGGTATATAATAATTTTGCATGTCATAACTTAATTTCAAAGGATATGACCTGTTTCAATAATATGAGTAGGACTCAATATTCTGTAGCCATTGTGAATAGATTTACCAGTGTGAATCAAAGGAGTATTTTGACATTTTCTATATAGAATTAATGTTATTGAACAGATTGAGCAATTTTCCAACATGGTATATATGCACATATTTAGTAATGTTGCCTATTTAAACTTAATGCTTTAATGTTGTGTGTTTTTACAGAGCTGCTGTAGATGCAATCAAGCGGCTTGATGAAGTATTGAAGCAGAGAAAGGCCTATCGGGAGGTCTTTACTCAAGATGCTGTTGGGTTACGTAATAAGTAAGTGTTTGTATGCTTATACACATAATAAATATGGACGTTAATGCTCTTACTGTGGCACCAGTTTTTAAAACATACTGAAATGATATTCCTTCCCAAATTATGTAAATTTTTTTTGGTCATTTATTCCGGTTGATTCCAATTTTATTTTTCCTCGTTCCACTCCTTTTGCCCCTAGCGTCACTGAGCTGCTTATCATAATCACATACATATTTTAGTGGTACTCCTATTTTTGTGCTTTTGGCAAAAATGATATGGTGCTAAAATATAATTTTGCTAATTGCTGCTTTGTAAATCATTGATATAACAGTGACTTTGCTAAATTGTTCAAAATAGAAATAGCACTAAAATTTGATTGTGCCAGAATAAAGACGATCACAGTATTGTATAAAGAACATATGTAAATAATGATACTAACAAGTAATGTTTATTGTGACTGTAATTCTGTAACATAATATATGTCTTGAATATTTATAGTGTGTATTTTGATAAATATATAAATAGGTTTCATTTCCAAATTCAGACTAAAAGAATACAGTGAGAGACTCATGTTCTATAACCCACTTGAGTATGGAAGGAAAGCAGAAGATGTTCTATGGCGGAAAGTCTTTTACCAGATCATCCAGCTTGTAAAACAAAACCGAAAGGTCAACATTGAAATCAGCATTGTTGATATTAGATAAGATCGTGTCAGAAGATAAATCCTGTGAAAACAAGGAAACATTTTCTATGGGAATGCTTGCTCATTTTAATTTACAAAAAACTTCAAAGTCAAAATAATAAGAGATTTTGCTTAGTAATGGACATTTACTTGTCTTTTAGTTGTTCTAAAGTGTGTTAGCAAGCTTTTTATTTGGGACAAGAATGCAGTACAAATAATTGAAAGTTCAAATAGATTTCTTTTTTATGTATTTTTTTTACAATTATGAATGATTATGATAAATTTCATAAATTATGCTAAAGTATTATGATTTAGTAAAAATGTAAATGCATCTGGGTTGAATCTAGTTCCGATAACATGGAAGGTGGTTTGACCATCATTCTTTTTAGAAAGATATTTGAATCATATTATTGTTTTTTACAGCATGTACGGCCTGGCAGTACATTGGAATCTGCATTCCGAACTCACCTGGCCTCGGCAACAGGTTACTACAATCATCTCCTCTTTAGGCTTCAGTATGAGTTCTCTCTCAATCTTCATGGTATACTAGATTTCCATCTGGTGCCTGAGCAAAAGACAGGTGGGTTTAGGTTTTGATGTCAAAATAGAAAAACAAATCCTTTTGATAGTTGGCTGGCCAGAGATGTTACTGTAATATTGTATAGAGAATGAAACTTGGAGTTGTTCAATTTAAGAGTAAATAGACACTGATTTAGACTTATGGTCAGAAGAACTGATTAAAATTTTTTCCCAAAGAAATTTATACTTTTTTAAAGACTGCAGTTGGTGTCACATGACACTTTTCTGTGTTTTCTATTCATTGTTCATCATTTCATAATTTGCTTGCCCTGAATTGTGTTGGACAAGTCTTCTTTCTTCGAAATATTTATTGAAACAGCTGATATTTGTTATCAAATATGTGTTAAAACACAAACTAAATGACTAAATTCTAATATGAAAAAAGGAAAATACAGTGAATGTAACATAGACATTACCATGAGATGTCTTCTAAAGAATATCCTTTCACAAATATTATAAGATCACATCTTTGTTTGAAATAACTTACCTCCCTTGCATAGCTTCTCCCCATGAACACAATAATTTTAAAACACTGTGGAGTCACAAGTAGAGTTGGAGGATTTATGCTTGTCTTTGATGTCCACTGTTCTTCGGAGGATTGAAAAAAATGGAAATCTAGGTGGAAAAAGAGTTAAAATAATGATTACACTATTCACTTTTAAACAACTATTCATTGTGCAAGATCTCATTCTTGCCATCCTCTACAACATCTTACTATTTATTGGTTGGTACTCCTACTATATGAATCTGCAAATGAGCATCTACCCACAAATATGCCTCCTTCATTTTTGCAGAATCGGAAGCAAAAGTAGTCCTGTCATTGTGTTGATGAACCATTCAGATTGTGGAATAAATATTAAATTTTTTTGACACAAGAATGCATGAATGAATTTTGTTTTCATTGCTTTGTCAGGCCACAGGAAGAGTTTTGGCCATAACAGTCGTAGAAAGGATGTGAACCCTAAAGTGCAGGACTGGGCTATGAAGGCATGCCACCGCTGTCTTGTGTGTCTTGGAGATATTGGTAAAGAAACTGATTAACTTATATTTTACAATTATCTTCAAATACGAGATTGTAAGGGATTTTTTGTTCTTACAAAAGTCTTTTCACAAAAAATCTCTTAGAAATGTGCCTCAATGTAACAAGATTTCCTGATGAAATAAGATTTTGAGAAAATTGTCATTGACATATAAAAATTACAAGGAAACTGCATCATCTATAAATTACATTGTATTATTCAATATTTTAAAATTTCTTTTAGAAGTTATTCCATGTATGTTCAGGATTTTGAAATTTTTCTCAAACATCCTGATATTGGTGCTTTTGCCAACAAAGTGATTTCCAGATCACTGAAATACTTTGGAAGATGATTTGTTTTTCAGCACGTTACCAACAAGATTTTGATAAAGGATTCAGTAAGTCAGCTTCAGAACGTTTTTACCATCAAGCAATAGCTTTGTGTCCTGATAATGGTAAGTTTATTGCTTAATAAATACCAAACAACCTACCATATTCCTTATCCGACTTATTTTCTGTTTGACATGATTAACAGCATATGAATAATAGGGTGGGTTTTTTTTAGCCTTTTTTTGCTCTTAAGGTTAATTTAATTTTGATTTTTTTCTGTAAAATGTTGAAGAAAAAGCAACCAAAAAAATCAGAGTGCAGAAGAAACATGGATGCCGATACAGGAATCTTTCATCTGTCAAATAAAGTGCAATTAAACCTGATTTTATTGGTACTTCACATTAAGATCATCCTACCAACACCTGACTTTAAAATGTTTTGAGGTTGTGTTTATTATCAAAGAAGTTATGATGGAAAGTGATTATGTCTAATCATTTTGATATGGTACCCCCTTGCTTTGGCTATAAACTTTAAAAAATTACCTCTCTTGTCCTGTGTTATCCAGGAATGCCACACAACCAGTTGGGAACCCTAAGTGGGTCACGTTATGTCCACTGTGAGGCAGCTTACCACTATATACGCTGGTAAGTGTTCATGGCACTTTCGGTACCATTATCAGCTTATGGTTTGACGTTATTAAACCATTTTACTTTGACAACATTGTTTGATCATATCATTGGGAAATAATCATTTTTAGGGTCATACTCAGGCCCTGTAAAGAGTATATTCTGATAGATTAGGCATTACAAGTAAAAAAGAATATACACTATGTATTTCAGACTCAGAAAGGGTTCTCTTACACTGAAAACACTGTTTTGTTGTCTTTTGAAATTCATTCAAGAAATTTATTCACGACTTGAAGGAGTGAAATTTCAACTTTGATCAAAGGTTAGCAATGATCTTTGGGGGAAAAAAACACAGAAATCTAACAAGTTTGATAGCTTTAAAAATTGCTACCTTTCATCATTCCTTTATTTTCTTGCATTGTTCATATACCTTAACATTTAGGTTTTAAATATTTATGCCACCATTGTATGTTTCAGTATGGTGTGTGAGAAACCATTTGAAGGTGCAGAAGGCAATTTACAGCGACTCTTTGAAAAAAATCGGAAAAGATTCCTTGAACTCAAACAATCCGCAAATCACGGTCTTCCATTGGAAACACAGAGGTAAGAATTTCATTTTCTTGATATACATGGTGAAGAGATCTCTGATTCCACAGTTATAATATCTTTCTGACTGTCATCATAACAATGATCACTTATGAACCACTGTGATATTATCTTGTATAGCAATTAAATTTCTGTTTTCATTGTATTTTACTAAATTTGATACACTTACATTTCCTGTAGTACCACATACCCTGGTACTTCTGAGGACTCTGTTATAGTTTCTGGGTTGGTAAATACTTATATAGTTTCTGACAGCATATATTTCTGAAGGAATATTAAAGAAACAAGCAAAAGTATAAAATTTTGTATTAAGTTTGATTGAATTTTTCTGTAATGATTAACTAAGGGATAAATGTTCTGATAGTTTCCAGGACCTGAAGGTGTTCCTGACACAGTTTCTACATCTGTTAAGCATCTTCTTTGATACATCCAAGAAGTAAGTGGAATGAATTCTATGATCTTGAGCTCAAGCCAATTATTAAATCAATCGTTTTTTCCATCTTACCACAAATTGTTTAATTGTTTTGAAATATTCAGTGCAAATATAATAAGAATGATTTTTCCTATCATTGAAAATTCAATCTCTTTATTGTAAGATTAGACAAACATGATTTTCAAAGATCAGAGAAAAAAAATTGTCATAGATTTATGTTATTGACCATGTAAGGATATTCATGTTCCAGCCCAGACTCATCAGATTTACAAGAAAGTTGCCAGGCAGCGCTTCAGAGTTTTAACTTGTGTATGTTTCATGAGCCCGACATCTACACTCATGAGGATTATCGTCTGGACGGACTCGAGCACCTTGATGATGACATGGTCTTTAAGCTTGTTGTCATGTGTATGGCCACAATTCACCTGCTGCAGTTACGAGGTTTGTCATTTGTTGTTTGCTCACAATGTGGTCATTGGTTGTGAACAATTTTGTGATTGGTTACTTGTGAACAGTTTTGTGATTGGTTGATTGTTTAAGTTTTTGTCAGTCGTATCATGCCACTATCACAGCTCTGATTCTCCTCTACATGCAAGTCATCAGTGAATCGATCCTTACTACCAGTGTTTCATTTTGCCAGTAAAAAGTTTTTCATTTCTGGTGAGTGGTAAGAGATCCCAGCACCAATCAAACACCAAAAGATATTTAGTAAGGAAAACATCTGGATTTTACACTGAAAGTTGTGTACACATGGGATTAGGCATCATCATGCTAGCTGAAGACTTTTGTTCTCAGTTAAGATAAAAATATTTGATAGGGACCTAGGTCGTTTCAAATCAATGGAGTCTTTTAATGGTATGCTATTTGTAGGTTCCAGGCAGGTGACTGCAGCCACAGCTTTCCTCCTTGCACTGTTCTCCCACATTCTAAATCATGTTGTCATCCGCCTTCATGCAGCTCTGGACGAGAAAGAGAACCCAAACAAGCTGCTTCACAGAGACTTTCATCAAGATGGTGAGTAATACAGTAGAATGCTGCATATATGAACTGATCATTTGATTACAATTTGTTCAGTTATTACTTAAAACTTGATTATAACTATTATTAGATACATCAGTCACTAAAACATATCTTTTTGATTATCATTTGTCAAGAAATACAATCCATGCTTTATTGACAAAATGTGTGAACAAAGATCATCGGCTTAGTAGAAAGTAATTTGATAATGATTTTTGCCATTGATTTGGTAGTTTGTATCTTTAGTCTTGTGTTCCTATGCTAACAGTTCCTAACTACCAACTTACTTACCTGCGTTATCAGTACATAATGAGTGACATTACACCAATATGTAAAAGTAGGTCACTGTGACTTGTGTTTTATACTTTGTGTGTTTAAGCTAGAAGCTAGAAGTGTGAGAATGAGCTGATCTGTTTATTGATGTGCCTCTTGTTGTTAACACCAAAGTGTGAGGATCAACAATCAAACCAATAATACACTGCAATATTTAAGATAAAATTATTCATCAGTTATGGTTATTTGATGAGGTGAATGTGGTGTTGTATTAACCTTATGTAAAAGTATTGACTGAGAACTATCCAACATTAGACATTTTTGAACTTAATGATGAAATGAATGGAAATAATTAGATTAAGAAAAAACATTTTAGTGAGTTAATTGATAGCAGAGATTGTTTGTAGAACAGTTTTACCATACCAAAGGTATGGGGTCACCTGCCTGACCACGTAGGTTTTTCTGGGGAACTCAACTTCTTCTCACAGTATGACCCCTTGTGTGCTACCATCTTGGCCAACATGAGTGATTTATATAAGTTGGAAAAATGTTTTGCAATTGTTTTAAAACGGATCAAGTTTAATTTCAGTTTAATGCAGATTAAAAACTTTAAATTGGACTGATGTAAAAAGGTATCTTTGATTTTAGTTATGCCAATCTACCAATATGAAAATGGTTACGTACTTTGTATTCCTGTTTTGTTTGTGATGATTTTGACAGGACTTGTCTACTGCAGTTATGCAATCATTTGCTTTCACTGGAAATATTGTAAAAACTTAGTGTATTTTTTTTAATCAGAAATAATGATTTTTCTAGTTGATAATCAGTTCATTATACTGGCAACAAATACAATAAAACATTTTTTTTTATTATTCATCTCAAAAATATATACATCAATTAGGTCAAAGCAAGTAATATTTTCTGTATTATCAGCTTTTAACATTGATTCTACCTCCATCCATGTGGTCAGATTCTTTTGCTAGCTTAGTTTTCATAGATGCATCAAATGGTTTTTGATTTACTTTTAAACTTTTAAAGTTCCTTAGCTAATTAGTTCCTATGTTAGGATGATATTATGTTATTGCAACAAAGTTAACTTTTAAATCGTCTGTGAAGTCTGAATCATTTCCAACTTCATGTTGTAATGTAACTCTAACCTTTGATTTTGCCATAAACATTATGAAAGGGTTTGGTAGTAAGGAAATGTATTTTGAAAATGAAAGTTATTTATGGGTCAATAAATCATCTGACCTTGACCTAAATGTGGAAGTCAACACTTAACCTTCATGTCAAGTTACTGTCTCTTCTCCACAGTTGATGAAGAAATGGAAGATTTTTCAGACCCAGAAGAAAATGGTCACATCTCGCATCACACACATGGCCAGGAAGCAGATGAAATTCCGACTCCCTCCCAGAATCACAGTAATAGTTCTCAGTACAAAAGAGTGGTTACTGAAAATTCAATACAACATGAGAAGTCAGAGGTATGTGCTCAGGCAGTAAATAATATTGTGAAATTACCAACAGTGAAGTAGGGTTATTTAGAGTAAAGTTTGATACTTCTGTGATACTATATAAGAGAATTAAAGAATTAAATGTCATTCCAGATAGTAATTTTTTTGTTTAAATGAAGTAGATGGGTTAGACTTAAGATTGAAGGATTGTATTCCCCTTCTCAACATAATGATTTTCCTTCCTCGTTTCTTTACTAAGGTAAAACTTTTTTTGTCTGACATGAGTTCCCGACTAGTCTGTATTGGGGGTCTCATAAAGCTATACATTTATTATTGATGTTAACAGTTCTGAATGTTACAAGATTGCTAAGTTTAAGATCATTTAACATTTCCTATTGTAAACATTGTTATTTTCAAGGCTTCTGTTTTTCACTATTTTAGGACTGTGGAAAATTGATACCTTCAAATCCTTCATATTCAGGGGAGGTTTATTTCATTAATTTCGTTGGTACTATAAATACATGAAAACATATAAACAATAAACTGTTACCAGATGGTATATACAGTGGATATGAATCCCATCCGGGTGGAAGATATATAGAATGTCCACAAACTGTTGAAATAAGTAGATTTATTATGCTTTATTTATCAATGAAATCAAGTGTCTGTGAAATAGTAAAACCACAAAAATACGTTGTTTTGGAGTACTTCAGAATTGTAAAGTCAGAACAAAAAGTAACCGAATACTGCCAAAAGTATTTCCCATTTATAAGCTTTTTTCAAAATCATGAAAATGAAAATTTGAAGCGTCATAAAACGCAGCCTTTACAACAATGTGAAAAAATGCTTATCACTGGAGAGTCATCGTCAGTATTCAGAAACACAGACTTCCTAAAATAGAGACATTTTACTGTCTACAAGTCCATTCATGTCGTTGAAAATAGATGATTTCTTTTTCCAATAGAAATCGAAGGCATCTCGTATGAAGAGTTTTAAACGGCGGAGAAGAAAACGACACAACAGCAGTGGCAGCTCTGATTTGTCTGATGTCTCTGACCTCAGTGAAGGTGAGATTGATAGAATCTTTCACCCTATGGAGATGAAATTAATAGAATGTTTCACGGCTTGGAGGTGAGAACCTCCTCTCATCAACACAGGGATAAATGATTTTTTTTCTCATGCCCTGCTGGCTTTAATAGCTTTGTGATTTTGTTGTCTGAGTGTTTCCCATCATTGACACTATGTCATAGATACAATATTGTTATTGAATTGTTGACATGTTTTCTTAATTGTAACTGTGTAGTGTGATATTATACCATTATCTTGATAAGGAAGTAGACAGGGTGTAATCTGTCTGAATGTGAGATAGTAATAAAAGCTATCTTTAAATAGTAGATGGGGTCTGATCTGTCTGATGTCTGTGTGAAGGTGAGATACCCGGTAGTAATATCTGATATTTCTGAATAGTAGATTGCAAGAAAAAACAAGAAGCTTACACATAATCTCTAATTCGAAGTCCAAGAAGTCTACGCATATCTCTAACTCAAAATCAAAGGGGCCTACACATAATCTCTAAATCAATGTCAAAGGGGCTTACACATAATCTCTAACTCAAAGTCCAAGAATCTTACACATTTTCTCTAATTCAAAGCAGGGAATAGCTCGTACTACAGGACAATATTGTAATTGATGGCAATCCTACAGAAACTGCAAAACATATGGATCCAGATGGCCTTTTTGTTGGAAAAATACAATAATTTTGATAAAACACTGGAAAATTTTGATAATGTTTATTTCAACTTGAGCAAAAATTGAATTACTATGATTAATGCCAATATACACTTTGAAATCCAAAATCATCATTGAATCATGAAATAATGATACTGTAAGAAATCAGAAATTGAAAATTATAAATTGTGCTTGTAAAGTTAAATTGAATACATTTCAGGTGCTGAACATTTATCTGACAACTTTCTGTCTGGAGATTCAGAAGATGAGGAAGAAGAATTTGTTGGCTTTTTCACAAATGACTCTGATTCAGATATGTCTGATGCTCTTATGGAGAGTCAGGAGCTGGAGCCAGGATTTTCAGAAGCAAACAAGTCCTCCATGAACACAAACTCTCATGATCAACACAACATTTTTCCTGGTGGTTTACCAGAGGCTAATAATGCAGCTTGGATTAGTCAGGCAGAAAATGAAAAGCTTGCTCATTTGTCTTCAGAACTGTACTCCTCATCTGCTTCTTTCTTACGACAAAATCTGAAGTTGTCTCCACAGAATAGCAGATCCTATGAATGTGATATAGATGAGTTTGAGAACTGTAAAGATGTAATTCAGGGCAAGAAAGAAGTGCCTGTTCCTCCAGGTGAGGCAATTACCACTATTGATAAGGTAATACTGTCATGGTTAAGATACTGATAAACAATATCTGACACTAATTCATTATAAAAACAGACCAAATGTCTTTGTTGCAAACTTTTCCACTTTTGAAAGGTTGCACATGGCATTGAATATTGCAATTCAGTCCCCCAAACAAAGTGAGGAATTTTTATAAGTTTCCTTTTCTGATTTTAATTATTACAGGGTAACTGGCAATAATTACTTATAGGTAATTGTACTTTGCTCCAGAGTAGATATGCTTAGCTGTTCAGTAGAATTATTTCCTACTTCGGTTAGCATTACTTTGCGATATCAGAGGTAGTGTAGGGGGCTTATGTAATCGTCTCCATTACAGTTAGAACTTGTTAAATTCTGTTGTAATGTAAACAGGTTTTGCATCCAGCAAGGAAGCTCTACATGTGGCGGAAATCACCAACAAACTCGCTAATTTTGTGATAGAGACAGATACAGAAGCTAGCATGGTCCCCACTGACTCAGGTAGGAAGAAATAAAGAATGACATAGAGGCTAGCTTAGCCTCTATCCTCAAGCTAGAAATACACTTTCTTTAAGACAAACCTACTTTTCTCTGACCAAGTTTTTTTTATAACCTGTTTGTGGTTTCTGCTCAAAAGCATAGATTAAGTAAATATATTATGAAAAATTGATTAAAGAAGAAAATAACTATACAATGTTCCTTTAGAGGATGTTGTGATCAAAATACACATTTATGTGAGATTTTCTGATCTGTTGACAAGTCATAATATATAATTGTAGTAATAGTTTATGTTCCAATTTTTAGAGCAATCAGGAGCTGATGTTGAAAATGACACGGAGACTGAAGATTATAGCAGTACCTCTGGATCTGGAGACAGGTAAGTTTGATGTCATATTGTAAGCTGTTGTCATATAAAAAAGGAGTAACGCTAATGTTTGCAATGGCAACTAGTGATTAAGATCTGATCCATTAAAAGAAAAGAAAATACCTATTGGTACATTAAAATCTTCGAATGTGATGCAGTTTTCAAGATGATGTCTCACAACTTACTTGTTATGAAGAGAAAAATGAAAGTTTTACACAGGTTTTTTCCCAAAGTAAACATGACTTAAATTTACATGCTACGGTAGCAAAATCATGTAACTTTTCTATCACAAGTATGTTTAGTTAAAGACTATAAATCATGTTAATATTGTGATTTTATTCTGTCAGTAATTAACATCCCTAACTTTTCCATGTGTTGTTGTAAAGGATGGAGACAAGTCATCGTCAGCTGAAGTACACTATAGATGTTGTCTACAGTGAAGGCCTGCTTTCCACAGTCAAGCTCATGTGTGACTGGATGAGATGTAACAGTGGTGTCATTATGACCTGTGCCCAGGTAAACATGACTAAATGTGAAATTGGTATGGTATATGACCATGTAGGTCACTAGGCATGACATTGTTATGGTATGTGACCATGTAGGTCACTGGATGTGATATTGTTATGGTATATGACCATGTAGGTCACTAGATGTGACATCGTTATGGTATATGACCATGTAGGTCACTGGATGTGATATTGTTATGGACTATGACCACAAAGGTGATTAAATGTGACGTTGTTTTGGTCCATCACCATGAAGGTCACTAAATGTAATGGTCTATGACCGTGGAGACGAATCTGTGTAACATTGTTTTGACTGGGCCGATTCATTATGATGTTATATTGACTTTTGTTTTATGATCTGACATCAATAGATATCAGAAGTCCAGCTCTTAAAAATAAAGAAGTGAGTGACACATGCTGTGGTCAGTAAACGATAATTGTGGTCTTTCTACAAGATTTCCACATTAGACCAGTCTCAAAATGTCAGTACACTCAGTTTTAGTTCTACAAGATTTCCACATTAGACCAGTCTCAAAATGTCAGTACACTCAGGTTTAGTTCTACAAGATTTCCACATTAGACCAGTCTCAAAATAGCAGTACACTCACAGTTTTAGTTCTACAAGATTTCCACATTAGACCAGTCTCAAAATGTCAGTACACTCAGTTTTAGTTCTACAAGATTTCCACATTAGACCAGTCTCAAAATGTCAGTACACTCAGGTGTAGTTCTACAAGATTTCCACATTAGACCAGTCTCAAAATGTCAGTACACTCACAGGCTTAGTTCTACAAGATTTCCACATTAGACCAGTCTCAAAATGTCAGTACACTCACAGTTTTAGTTCTACAAGATTTCCACATTAGACCAGTCTCAAAATGTCAGTACACTCACAGTTTTAGTTCTACAAGATTTCCACATTAGACCAGTCTCAAAATGTCAGTACACTCACAGGTTTAGTTCTACAAGATTTCCACATTAGACCAGTCTCAAAATGTCAGTACACTCAGTTTTAGTTCTACAAGATTTCCACATTAGACCAGTCTCAAAATGTCAGTACACTCAGGTTTAGTTCTACAAGATTTCCACATTAGACCAGTCTCAAAATGTCAGTACACTCACAGGTTTAGTTCTACAAGATTTCCACATACAGCACTGTCTCAATTTGTCAGTACTCTCAGGTTTAGTTCTACAAGATTTCCACATTAGACCAGTCTCAAAATGTCATTACACTCACAGTTTTAGTTCTACAAGATTTCCACATTAGACCAGTCTCAAAATGTCAGTACACTCAGGTTTAGTTCTACAAGATTTCCACATTAGACCAGTCTCAAAATGTCAGTACACTCACAGTTTTAGTTCTACAAGATTTCCACATTAGACCAGTCTCAAAATGTCAGTACACTCAGGTTTAGTTCTACAAGATTTCCACATTAGACCAGTCTCAAAATGTCAGTACACTCAGGTTTAGTTCTACAAGATTTCCACATTAGACCAGTCTCAAAATAGCAGTACACTCACAGTTTTAGTTCTACAAGATTTCCACATTAGACCAGTCTCAAAATGTCAGTACACTCAGGTTTAGTTCTACAAGATTTCCACATTAGACCAGTCTCAAAATGTCAGTACACTCAGGTTTAGTTCTACAAGATTTCCACATTAGACCAGTCTCAAAATAGCAGTACACTCAATGTCAGTTTTAGTTCTACAAGATTTCCACATTAGACCAGTCTCAAAATGTCAGTACACTCACAGGTTTAGTTCTACAAGATTTCCACATTAGACCAGTCTCAAAATGTCAGTACACTCAGGTTTAGTTCTACAAGATTTCCACATTAGACCAGTCTCAAAATGTCAGTACACTCACAGTTTTAGTTCTACAAGATTTCCACATTAGACCAGTCTCAAAATGTCAGTACACTCAGGTTTAGTTCTACAAGATTTCCACATTAGACCAGTCTCAAAATGTCAGTACACTCAGGTTTAGTTCTACAAGATTTCCACATTAGACCAGTCTCAAAATGTCAGTACACTCAGTTTTAGTTCTACAAGATTTCCACATTAGACCAGTCTCAAAATGTCAGTACACTCAGTTTTAGTTCCACATACAAAAATGTCATTTCCACATTAGACCAGTCTCAAAATAGCAGTACACTCACAGTTTTAGTTCTACAAGATTTCCACATTAGACCAGTCTCAAAATGTCAGTACACTCAGGTTTAGTTCTACAAGATTTCCACATTAGACCAGTCTCAAAATGTCAGTACACTCACAGTTTTAGTTCTACAAGATTTCCACATTAGACCAGTCTCAAAATGTCAGTACACTCAGGTTTAGTTCTACAAGATTTCCACATTAGACCAGTCTCAAAATGTCAGTACACTCACAGTTTTTAGACCAGTCTCAAAATGTCACACTCAGAGTTCTACAAGATTTCCACATTAGACCAGTCTCAAAATGTCAGTACACTCAGGTTTAGTTCTACAAGATTTCCACATTAGACCAGTCTCAAAATGTCAGTACACTCAGGTTTAGTTCTACAAGATTTCCACATTAGACCAGTCTCAAAATGTCAGTACACTCACAGTTTTAGTTCTACAAGATTTCCACATTAGACCAGTCTCAAAATGTCAGTACACTCACAAGATTTCCACATTAGACCAGTTTAGTACACTCACAGTTTTAGTTCTACAAGATTTCCACATTAGACCAGTCTCAAAATGTCAGTACACTCAGGTTTAGTTCTACAAGATTTCCACATTAGACCAGTCTCAAAATGTACAGTACATTAGACTCAAAATGTCAGTTTTTTAGTTCTAGTTCTACAAGATTTCCACATTAGACCAGTCTCAAAATGTCAGTACACTCAGTTTTAGTTCTACAAGATTTCCACATTAGACCAGTCTCAAAATGTCAGTACACTCAGTCAGTACACATTAGACCAGGTCTCAAAATGTTCAGGTTTAGTTCTACAAGATTTCCACATTAGACCAGTCTCAAAATGTCAGTACACTCAGTTTTAGTTCTACAAGATTTCCACATTAGACCAGTCTCAAAATGTCAGTACACTCACAGTTTTAGTTCTACAAGATTTCCACATTAGACCAGTCTCAAAATGTCAGTACACTCAGGTTTAGTTCTACAAGATTTCCACATTAGACCAGTCTCAAAATGTCAGTACACTCAGGTTTAGTTCTACAAGATTTCCACATTAGACCAGTTTTAGTTCACTCAAGATTTCCACATTAGACCAGTCTCAAAATGTCAGTACAAAATGTCTCACTCAGTTTTAGTTCTACAAGATTTCCACATTAGACCAGTCTCAAAATGTCATTACACTCAGGTTTAGTTCTACAAGATTTCCACATTAGACCAGTCTCAAAATAGCAGTTTTCCACATTAGACCAGTCTCAAAATGTCAGTACACTCACAGTTTAGTTCTACAAGATTTCCACATTAGACCAGTCTCAAAATGTCAGTACACTCAGTTTTAGTTCTACAAGATTTCCACATTAGACCAGTCTCAAAATGTCAGTACACTCAGGTTTAGTTCTACAAGATTTCCACATTAGACCAGTCTCAAAATGTCAGTACACTCACAGTTTTAGTTCTACAAGATTTCCACATTAGACCAGTCTCAAAATGTCAGTACACTCAGGTTTAGTTCTACAAGATTTCCACATTAGACCAGTCTCAAAATGTCAGTACACTCAGGTTCTAGATTTCCACATTAGACCAGTCTCAAAATGTCACAAGATTTCCACATTTCCAGACCAGTCTCAAAATGTCAGTACAGGTTTAGTTCTACAGATTTCCACATTAGACCAGTCTCAAAATGTCAGTACACTCACAGTTTTAGTTCTTTCCACATTAGATTTCCACATTAGACCAGTCTCAAAATGTCAGTACACTCACAGTTTTAGTTCTACAAGATTTCCACATTAGACCAGTCTCAAAATGTCAGTACACTCAGTTTTAGTTCTACAAGATTTCAACATTAGACCAGTCTCAAAATAGCAGTACACTCACAGTTTTAGTTCTACAAGATTTCCACATTAGACCAGTCAAAATGTCAGTAAATGTCAGTACACTCAAAATGTCAGTTTTAGTTCTACAAGATTTCCACATTAGACCAGTCTCAAAATGTCAGTACACTCAGTTTTAGTTCTACAAGATTTCCACATTAGACCAGTCTCAAAATGTCAGTACACTCAGGTTTAGTTCTACAAGATTTCCACATTAGACCAGTCTCAAAATGTCAGTACACTCAGGTTTAGTTCTACAAGATTTCCACATTAGACCAGTCTCAAAATGTCAGTACACTCAGACCATTAGACCAGTCTCAAAATGTCAGTACACTCAGGTTTAGTTCTACAAGATTTCCACATTAGACCAGTCTCAAAATGTCAGTACACTCAGGTTTAGTTCTACACCACATTAGACCAGTCTCAAAATGTCAGTACACTCAGTTTAGTTCTACAAGATTTCCACATTAGACCAGTCTCAAAATGTCAGTACACTCAGTTTTAGTTCTACAAGATTTCCACATTAGACCAGTCTCAAAATGTCAGTACACTCAGTTTTAGTTCTACAAGATTTCCACATTAGACCAGTCTCAAAATGTCAGTACACTCAGTTTTAGTTCTACAAGATTTCCACATTAGACCAGTCTCAAAATGTCAGTACACTCACAGTTTTAGTTCTACAAGATTTCCACATTAGACCAGTCTCAAAATGTCAGTACACTCAGGTTTAGTTCTACAAGATTTCCACATTAGACCAGTCTCAAAATGTCAGTACACTCAGGTTTAGTTCTACAAGATTTCCACATTAGACCAGTCTCAAAATGTCAGTACACTCAGGTTTAGTTCTACAAGATTTCCACATTAGACCAGTCTCAAAATGTCAGTACACTCACAAAATTTCAGTTTAGTACAAGATTTCCACATTAGACCAGTCTCAAAATGTCAGTACACTCACAGGTTTAGTTCTACAAGATTTAGTTACTACACAAGATTTCCACATTAAACCAGTCTCAAAATGTCAGTACACTCAGGTTTAGTTCTACAAGATTTCCACATTAGACCAGTCTCAAAATAGCAGTACACTCAGGTTTAGTTCTACAAGATTTCCACATTAGACCAGTCTCAAAATGTCAGTACACTCACAGTTTTAGTTCTACAAGATTTCCACATTAGACCAGTCTCAAAATGTCAGTACACTCACAGGTTTAGTTCTACAAGATTTCCACATTAGACCAGTCTCAAAATGTCAGTACACTCAGGTTTAGTTCTACAAGATTTCCACATTAGACCAGTCTCAAAATAGCAGTACACTCACAGTTTTAGTTCTACAAGATTTCCACATTAGACCAGTCTCAAAATGTCAGTACACACAGTTTTAGTTCTACAAGATTTCCACATTAGACCAGTTTCAAAATAGCAGTACACTCAGGTTTAGTTCTACAAGATTTCCACATTAGACCAGTCTCAAAATGTCAGTACACTCACAGTTTTAGTTCTACAAGATTTCCACATTAGACCAGTCTCAAAATGTCAGTACACTCACAGGTTTAGTTCTACAAGATTTCCACATTAGACCAGTCTCAAAATGTCAGTACACTCAGGTTTAGTTCTACAAGATTTCCACATTAGACCAGTCTCAAAATAGCAGTACACTCACAGTTTTAGTTCTACAAGATTTCCACATTAGACCAGTCTCAAAATGTCAGTACACACAGTTTTAGTTCTACAAGATTTCCACATTAGACCAGTCTCAAAATAGCAGTACACTCAGGTTTAGTTCTACAAGATTTCCACATTAGACCAGTCTCAAAATGTCAGTACACTCACAGTTTTAGTTCTACAAGATTTCCACATTAGACCAGTCTCAAAATGTCAGTACACTCACAGGTTTAGTTCTACAAGATTTCCACATTAGACCAGTCTCAAAATGTCAGTACACTCAGGTTTAGTTCTACAAGATTTCCACATTAGACCAGTCTCAAAATAGCAGTACACTCACAGTTTTAGTTCTACAAGATTTCCACATTAGACCAGTCTCAAAATGTCAGTACACACAGTTTTAGTTCTACAAGATTTCCACATTAGACCAGTTTCAAAATAGCAGTACACTCAGGTTTAGTTCTACAAGATTTCCACATTAGACCAGTCTCAAAATGTCAGTACACTCACAGTTTTAGTTCTACAAGATTTCCACATTAGACCAGTCTCAAAATGTCAGTACACTCACAGGTTTAGTTCTACAAGATTTCCACATTAGACCAGTCTCAAAATGTCAGTACACTCAGGTTTAGTTCTACAAGATTTCCACATTAGACCAGTCTCAAAATAGCAGTACACTCACAGTTTTAGTTCTACAAGATTTCCACATTAGACCAGTCTCAAAATGTCAGTACACACAGTTTTAGTTCTACAAGATTTCCACATTAGACCAGTCTCAAAATAGCAGTACACTCAGGTTTAGTTCTACAAGATTTCCACATTAGACCAGTCTCAAAATGTCAGTACACTCACAGTTTTAGTTCTACAAGATTTCCACATTAGACCAGTCTCAAAATGTCAGTACACTCACAGTTTTAGTTCTACAAGATTTCCACATTAGACCAGTCTCAAAATGTCAGTACACTCACAGTTTTAGTTCTACAAGATTTCCACATTAGACCAGTCTCAAAATGTCAGTACACTCACAGTTTTAGTTCTACAAGATTTCCACATTAGACCAGTCTCAAAATGTCAGTACACTCACAGTTTTAGTTCTACAAGATTTCCACATTAGACCAGTCTCAAAATAGCAGTACACTCAGGTTTAGTTCTACAAGATTTCCACATTAGACCAGTCTCAAAATGTCAGTACACTCACAGTTTTAGTTCTACAAGATTTCCACATTAGACCAGTCTCAAAATGTCAGTACACTCACAGTTTTAGTTCTACAAGATTTCCACATTAGACCAGTCTCAAAATGTCAGTACACTCACAGTTTTAGTTCTACAAGATTTCCACATTAGACCAGTCTCAAAATGTCAGTACACTCACAGTTTTAGTTCTACAAGATTTCCACATTAGACCAGTCTCAAAATGTCAGTACACTCACAGTTTTAGTTCTACAAGATTTCCACATTAGACCAGTCTCAAAATGTCAGTACACTCACAGTTTTAGTTCTACAAGATTTCCACATTAGACCAGTCTCAAAATGTCAGTACACTCACAGGTTTAGTTCTACAAGATTTCCACATTAGACCAGTCTCAAAATGTCAGTACACTCAGGTTTAGTTCTACAAGATTTCCACATTAGACCAGTCTCAAAATGTCAGTACACTCACAGGTTTAGTCCTACAAGATTTCCACATTAGACCAGTCTCAAAATGTCAGTACACTCACAGGTTTAGTTATTATGTTACAGAGTTCGCAATCCCTGTGGCATCGTCTGTCAGTCCTGTGTAATTTATTACCAGTGGAAACTCTTCTGGCAGATCACGGTAAGTTCTAATTTTTAAAAAAGATACTGCAAACTGTGTAGTGGTGTTTCAGGTAACACACTGGATCATAATCACCTTTGATTTCTGAATTTTGAAGCATAGATTTTATGTATTTAAAGTTTTGTGTTAAAAAATGTGAATACATGTATTTAAACGGTTTTGAATTTTGAGTGATGAAGTCTAACATCAAACATTGTAGAGCTCCCTTTTTTGTCTGAAAACTCCAGACTCTTTTCTTTGGGTGTATTTGTTGATGTTACAAGATCAGGTGACACTGATAAGTGAAAGTCAACAACAGAACCATAGAGGATATTCTAAACATTCAATAGTATTGATTAACTAAATTACATTGTAAGACTTTCTGGTTTTCAACAGTACAGCACATGTAACAAAACTTGTAATAATAATGTGCATTTGGTTCTGAAAAATGAAAAAAAAAGGATTCTGTAAAAGTATTGAGATAAATCATAAGTTGAAAAGATATAAAACACACCATTATCATGTTGAACACACCTGTAGACAACCGCATACTCTTGACCTGTCTGTCTTAAAGAAGTGGTAAGCTTCTGTATCATCAAGAAAGAAGCAGTAGAACAGTTAACACTTTAATAGTGAATGAAAATGGATTCAACCACACAGCTCATTGCTAGCAATCAGCACAATCACTGAATTTGACTGTAGTGTTTTAGACAACTGTTCTTATTTTACTAATGTAAAGAGGGCTATAAGAGGGATTGAATGAAAGATTCTATTACCGTCTATTTGACACAGGTACGTTTTACGTAATAACCATGGCATGATATGTCATTTTTATATCTAACAGACCAGTGTTGGATGGATGAAGTGAAGACTGTTCTCTGCTCTATCCGTAACCAGGATTGGCATCAAATATTTCCTCTACGTGAGGACATCAATCTCTCGCAGTTTCCACCCTTGGTTGATGCTCATTCGAGTCTAAAGCTGAATATCAAACGGAAAGGACATATCTCTGAAATGCAAGAGGTAGGATTCTTTAGTGGTGTTCAGGTCTTCACGAGAAATGTAGACACTGTATAAAAATGTTTGCTTGCCATTTGTATGGTTTAACTGAGTATTTACTTAAAAATACAAGTATAGAGAATCTTACACAAGATTCCATACATGTATATAAGATTTTTGTAACAAGTTTTGAGAAATTTTCATTTAATCAAGCCTTTGGTTCAGTAAAATGAAAAAATTGTGATGAATTTGAAAAATTTCATGTGAAATAGAAACAAATGTAAGATACTTCTTATCTAGAAGTTCAATCAGAATTGTTCTGATGAATGAAGCCTCCGCAGAGGAGGCGAAACTAGTCGACAATAAATCAACCTCTAAACTGGTAACGCTTGGTTATGTAGTGATTAATTATCCCTTCCTAACTTCTAGTTAGGTCATCTGACCGAAGGGTCTGATGACCTATTGCGATCGCCTTTTGTCGGGCGTCATCCGTCGTAAACATTTTCAACTTCTTCTCAAGTTCTACATGTCTCATTGAGCTGAAACTTACCTGAAATGATCGTGACATGATCCTGACCAAAGTTTGTTAATTTCGGGTTGGTCTGAAATCCAACATGGCCACCATGGCCGCCATCTTGAAAACACATTTTCGACTTCTTCTCAAGTTCAAAATTTGAAATCTTGTATTTTATGTCAGATGACTGTTAAGGCCCATGGGCCACTTGTTTTTGTTTAATTGCCCTGCATATCATAAGGTATCCATACTCACAGTGAAGTACCAACAGAATAAACACACAACGGAATAAACACACATTGGCCCCTTTGTCTTGAAGATACTTCTTATCTTTGATCTTTTTGCATATAATCAAAATCAACAGTTTTTTCTCTCTGATTGCTTTCTTTTGTGGCATCACTCTGCTGATAACTCCATGAGGTCATGCCATCACATTGATAACATTAAGAACTTTCAGCCAATTATAACTCTGCCAGGCCATCTTACATGTGATAACAGAATTTTTCGTAATGAGTGTTATTTACTGGTAAGCTGATAACAGGAAAGTGATGTGGTGAATTAATATTATAATAATAATTTATTGATATCGTAACCAAGGGACATAATAAGGGTAAAGAATTTGAAAGCAGAAAGGATTTAGGGAGAACAGCAAAGAATGAGAAAAAGATCAAAGTATAGAATAAAAGAAATACAAACTTTTAAAAACACAGACAGAATAAGTGGAGAAATCAACCACATACCTTGTTGGGATAGGAATAAAAAGGGTAAGACATATCTTAAAGCAATAGACATGTATTTTATCTCCTATACAAGCATTTGTATCTTGTTCCTCAGTGTTTCCTGCGAGTGGGATGCATACGACAATTTGGTCACTTCCTGTCCAGTCTAGAAAATCTTAACTTCCAATATGATGAAGAGCAGAAGACATTCATGGGTCCCACACAGCCAGTTGATACACACGAAAATGAAAAGGAGGCCATGAAGCGAATTGTGAGTTCATTACTAAAGAAGATGTTTATCCTTAATCTTTTCTCTTGTTGCTGATTTTTTTGTATCTTTAACATCCCATTCTTAGAGAGTTGGGACAATATGCTTCGTATTCTGTAGACTTTATATCTAGTACATACCCTGTCTGTGTCTGTATCCCTTTTCTCCTGCTAGATTTTTGGAGGGACTAGCGATATACAATGATACTGCTTGTTTTATATCCTGTGCTATTTGTTTAGAATCCCTTCTACATCAGTGGCATATCACAAGAACCTCACAGCAGATTTAGTTTCTGTCATAAGGCCTAGTCCTATACTGTGTTAAAATAGCCATAGGTGTAGGTTTAAGCATCAAAGGTCACATTTGACAACTTCCCAAATTTCATCAAAAATTGGTAAATACACCAATTAAGAAGCCAACCTTTAATTGGATAATTAAAATGGTAATTAATCGCCAGTGACCAGGTGTTGTGTGCACGATGGACCAATACGCCGTGATTAGTCATGTGTTATGCACAGGTGACTTTCTACTTTCTACTCTGTGTATGTATTGACCAATTTCATCAGAAGACGTGTCAATGTTTTGACAAAAATTAATTTGATACAATGAATGACTTTTCCTTTGCTTTACAAGTGAAGGGACTGAAAAATCGCTTTAACTAAACCGAAATTTTGAGTCAATAAAAGTCGAGTCATCCACTCAAAACTACAAAGAAATGTATGGACAAAAATTAGGACTCCAACAGAATTTCAATTCAAGTGATTTCGAGATGAGTTTTAACTCTACGTATGTGCTAGGGAGCAGAGCCTTCATGTCTTACAAACATATTTCTAGTTTATTCTGCTTTGTGATGCTCCTGAAGGGTAAAATAGTGGTCTTGACTTCTTCATGTGTTAGCTCCAATTGGCATTTTCTTTTTTTTTCAAGGGAATGTTTGAAGTAAGATAACTGAAACAAAACCTTGCTTTACATCTTTATCATTCTTAGAACTCTACTTCCTCAAATTTACACATTCATTGTGGTAGCAATATCACAGAGAGGCTTACTCTAAAATATTACAGCCTCTCGCAAATATACACATTCAACAATGTAAACTAGCTGGCATATATAGGAAGTCGATGTTACTGGAATACCTCTATATCATCACACTAATTACTCTGTCCTGATGGCATCTCTCTGTATTCTTTTTCTTTTTTATTGTTTATTGTGTGTAAACTGCATGTTTTTACATATATTTTAAATGACACACATTCACGTCATGTTGAAAGATCTGTTAAAATTGCACCTTACACACTAGCGAACAACAAAAAAGAAAAAGGATTTCTTACATTGACATTTCAAAGTATTTCTTCTTTATTTATGCTCCTTAAAAAACTTCCTTCGTTCATTTGATGTTTTACACACTTATGGAACAGCCCAGTAACTGATGGAATAGCAAAACAGCTGATTCCAGTTTTGTGGGAAAGGTTGTCAACTAAAGGATGTAAACAGAAAGTAGTCCTAAATAACATCATCTTTTTATTACATTTTTGTGAGATATCTTAAGTGTTTACATTTCCATTCACATGTTATAGCTTTAAATTTTCTAGTATATACAAAATAAATTCACAAAATTAAAAGAAATTAGAACAAACACAATTGTGAATTCACACTGATTTTTACTGCAAGTGTACAGCAGCCCGACTTCCTATGCACCAGTCTTGATACTTTCCGAAGTGTAAACATCAATTTTGTTGACAAAACCTAATAGAGGATACACACTAGAAATGTAAATGTTGATATGTGACCACTGGTCTCTCAAACTGTTATAATCTGAATTTCTCTTTCCATACATATCATAAATATCATTTTGTTACTTTGTAAATTCAACTCAATTAGAGACAGGTCTATGGCAGATATCGTGTCCTGAAGGTAGGCTTTGTACCTAATAGTTCCATGCTGTTATGTACCATCTTGTAGTAATATAACTCTATATTGCCATGTGATTCCTTAATAGGTACCAAAAGTATCACTGATATCAAAGCTTTCACAAGAATTTACTGTTAAGGGATTTCAATATTGTTATAGTATATTCCAAGGGTTCGGAGTGGAATATGTTTATGGAGAATGTATTGGTAACCTTTTAGATTATAAAAATTAGGGAATATAGAAAGTTTTTTTAAAACCTGGTCTAGGCCAATTGCTTTCAGGAGTTTTCACTGTCCCTTCATCAGATTTATCGTTCATTGTAGAAATAAGATGAAATTACAATATCTTATTTACTGAAATTAGCAAGGTATACTGTATAGTTGTTTGAAATTAATTAATGCTTGATTTCATGCATATTAATAACCAAAAACATAGTGAAATTAAATCGCTATACAATACCAACTATACAGTATCATAGCTGTATGTTTATGTCAGCATATCAAATCACACTTTCAGAATACTTTCTCCTTGTATTTTTTATTACCAGAAAAGAGGTATCTTTATAGCATGATGTCGTTAAAATACTTTATAATTTCTAAATTTCTGTCAGATATTGGTACATTTTCCTTTGTAGAGTTTGTCCGAAGGCTTTTTCTGGTGCTTGTACATGAGGGGGATTTACTGCATTACTTTTAAATCTATTTTTTTTTTTAATTTTTAAAATCTCTTTATTAAAATAAGTTGAAATATAACATAGAAAGAACATATTGTTTGAAAACATCAATCAATGTCTAGGACAAGTGATGTCACATACTGTAACACAAGAAGATGATGACAAGACTAAAATTGTCATTGTACTGGATGTACTGTAGTCCTTGACCAATGTCAGTAACAGTCAAGTGACCTGTGTACCATGACTCATCAACATAAAGATACAATAGGCTGGCGTACAGCTACCTGTTTGGCGATAGACTTTGACTCAGATTTCACAGTCTAGACTTTGGCACAGCAACATGATAGGAATAATCTGATCAATTATCCTTGATCTGGGTATACAGTTATGTCTTTGTTTCACAAACAGTTTTCAAATGGAGCACTGTATGAACTGTTTGAAAAAACAGATATATTGTGTTATGCATTTTATTTCACAAAATTGATGTACTTCATAAAATTACAGTATTGATTAATGCAATTTCAGATATTCTTCACTATGGCCATGGTTTTCATAAGGTTTGATTACAGGTATATTTGATATGTGGTATAAGTGAAGTATATCAAAGACTGTGGATAAAGAAAGACAACTCTTGATGTAGAAAATTTTAATTGTTTACGTTAGGATGTATTTTAGAGAAAAGTATATGGACTGGAAAAGAGTTTTGTCTAATTGTGTTAAAATCTTTAAACGACTTCTCAATAACTGATGGTTTTTGTGGTCTTATGCTTTCAAATTTAAAGAAATTAGTTTTATTGACTAAGTTTGTTTTTAAGCTGCGGAACAGGTGAGATATACAGGCCCAATGGGTGTCTTGTTGATGGCTGTTTCCTTCTCAGTATGATTTGTTCAAAGTGAAAATTAATTTATGATTGATAGAAATTGAATAGGATTCAATGGAACTAGCAATAATTATAAAGATATTACTAGTATCTGAAGGTCAATAATGCAAACATGAGATTTGATATTTCAGCATGTGATGTTTGCCCTGGCGAGGAGCTGTACATACGATATTTGTCCTTTAGATATAGAGACATGAGATGTCTGTTGTCAAGTTGTTGTGAAAACTTTGACCGGATGATGATAGTATTAGGTACAGAGGATAAGACCGAGTATCACTACACCTGCTGTTTTAGGTATGATTACCAGGAAGTCTGTCACTGTCTTGGAGTCTGTGCTTGTAAAAGGATACGTTGTTTATCAGAGTCTATGCCCATGTATGTCAGAGTCTGTAAACCTACATATTGATGTGTGGGGTTAATAACACTGATGTACTCAATGACATTGACAATATCACAAATATATGTTTTAATCTGGATGAAATTCTTCTGCAGTTGTTGTGTTTTTAAGGTAGAATTTTATTATATTAATCTTTTAAATGAAAACGTAAAGTAAGATTTTGTCTTGGTTACAGCAACATTTGACATATAACAACTTTCCTGCATCAATTTCGATCAATATTGACTTTAATTCCTGTGTAGCATGCTGGGACAAAGGCTGCAAATTGTTGAAATCAATATACCTTCAGGGTCTGAAAGGACAAATGTGTTAAAATGCATGTATATGTACACATATATTTCCATACACTTACACAGAATAGATGATAGAGATACAAGCTGATGCAGTAGTATATATTTGTATAGATTATAAAACCATGCTAGTATATTGAAGGATATTGCCGATGCAAATATTTGATTGCTATATTCTCTCTTCCTGTGGTGACCATTCTGCAATCAATATTATGTAGGGCTGAAGTAGCTAAGTTGTTAGAGCAATAGCTTACATCACCTTAAGTGAAGGTCTAAGGTACCTGGTTTGATGGTCCCATGGCAGTTTGTGGATGCTGAAATGATAAATCTGTGCTGTTATGGTTGTGCCTTAGAAAAGACACTTTACCCCAGTTACTCTCGATAACATTTGACAAGCCTCTTGTATGTTGTTCAGTGAAGACGCCACCAGATATTACAAGGAGACGCTGCCTCGATATGATCCTGGTTGTGCATGGAGTGATAAACCCAGCTAACAAACCATGTAACTGACTGTGTACTAATATATCATTCTCTCTAGCATATGAATCTGACATATAGTGTACTAGGCGGTGCACTGGTCACGGGTGTGATCCACACAAGTTATCAGTAAGTGGTAGTGTTTGACAGCAGGGTCTGATCACAACTTCTGGGTGCTGGACGTGTACAAATAACTGCGATATTTTTGGTATGCTTGGTATTTACATTGTAATAATGTTGTTTGCATAGATGTTGACACTGCTGATACGACTAATACAAACACAGATGTGATAACATTGATTAGTGTCATTCAAGGAAATAGGTCGAAATTTCAGTTCAATCCGTTTTCTGATTTCTGTCTAACATTTGTTTTTTTT